GAATAGTGAAACTCCCACGTCCTTGTTTGTACATCCTGATACGATGTGTTTCCATTGTTATTTCTTTAATTGGCTAGTCATACGATCAGAAACATATTTTTGGAAATTGTAACTACCCTTGTTTAAAAGGACAAATTAACCCTTTGTTTTCGGTGTTTCGTATAATATACGTAAGTAAGACGCGATGTGACTGTGTGATCAAGTTTTATAATGTCAACTTTGGTGAGTACGTTCCAATTGTTTTCTTCTCCGCTATAAATAACAAATAGAAATTGTATTTGTTAGCTTTTTGTGTAAATTTTAGAATGGCTCAATTTTAATATTTTGTCGTGTCTACCCTATTGATCAATTATTTACTGTAACTTGAATGCCTGGAATTACGTCTAATTTTAAATACTTGCTAAAAAAAAGAAAACATGCCTAATAAGAGGCGGCAGAGTAGGAGTCGGTCGCGAAATCGCAGATCGCATTCTAGCCAACATGATTCACGCTACAGACGACGTAGCCCTTCAAGCAATATTTTAACCGAAACAATGCAACAAATTTTGAATAGATTGGTGTCATTAGAGGAACAACAGGTAGTGTCTTCGTCTCAACGAAAGGAGTCTAGTGGCCGCGCTGCAGTGGAAGTAGCCAAGTCCGCGGTGCCTGTGGCAACCATCAGCGCCGAGACGTTCCTGCCGTTGAGCCTGCCGTGTCGATGCCGCCGCCGTTGCAGTTGGGCGAAGCTGTGACTGCGAGCTCGCTTCAGGCTTCAACGACTCCGTCCTCACCGGAGCGTCCCGCGAGCGCTACGTCAGTCCAGACCAGCGCCGCCGATCGCATCATCGATGCGATACTATCCATAAATATACCGGTGAGATCTAACCAGTCTTATTATATTTCTAATTTGGTGTGAAGAAGTAGACCGTGCTAGGTCTTCTAATAATTGGAGTGATCACGAATGTCTTTCTCGCATTGGCAATTGTTTACAAGGAGATGCTAAACCGTGGCTCAGTGAATGGGTAACGAATGACCGCAGTTGGAGTAATTTTAAAAACGAATTTAACACGTTAAACGCCACTCCGGTCACCGGTGACCGGATCCCTGCCTGCATTTAAGCGCCGCGTACGACACCTGTTACCTTATTAAGTTTTTTTTATAATATCTGCGGAACCCAGCTTCTGATTGAACCCTAAACTAGATATATTTTGAAGATTCGACATTATGCATTTATTTCCGTTAATAAGTTTTAGTGATTTTTTCTATTTCTACTATGGCGTTTACGTGTTAAGCCTTTATGTCTTTATAAGAATTTTTTTTATAATATTATTATATTTAAAATCTAACCTTATTTGATAAGAATATTATAGTTTCAGTGTGAATTGTGGAATGAAGTGTATTATAATTTTGAGAGTTAGAAAGCTGATGTTTTCTTCTGAGAAGATTTCCAAGAACCATGTGGTAATTACATTGTGTTTTTTAATACAATAGTACCATATTTTGTATTTTTTGTTGTTTTGACTATTATTCTATCTCACTACATATCAAATAAAGTATCAATGAATACACTTGATATTTTATGTACGTAAATAAATCTTATTCCACATTTTATATTAAAATGTTGCTAAATGTTTTTATATTCGTAATTACTTAGCAAAAGTCAATGAAATGAAGGTTCGCTTTGAAATTGTATAGAAGTTCTTAGTAAAATGAAAGGTAATGCTTCACAAAACCGAATCAAGCCAAATTTCCATTACATATGTCTTAAACGATAGGGAATATTCTTACACTGTTTTGGAAGTTTTTTTTGGAGTCGTAAGTTAAGTTGAAAAAAAAACGAAGAAAACTACATAGGGTAAGTTAAGTTTGGAACAATAACAAAAAAGGAACAATAGAAAAGCGCAGGATAAGTAAAGCTAGGTTTATAACATGTAATAAAACACCAAAAGCAAACTGGAAAGGTTAGGTTTGGAACATTTTTAATACCATAAAAAACATCGAAAATGCGAAAATATTTTATATTATAATTCATGTTATTTTATAAAAATTGTGAGTGTCAGCATACCTGTGACTAAACTGAAAACATATGAAACAATTTTATTATCTCACTGAAATAAATTAAGACCCCGAAAAAAAAAATCTTCATAGTAATATATTCATCTTCAAAATTATTATTCAAATGTTAAAAGACTTTGTTTATTGTTGTGTTTGGGTCGGACTTTAAAATGGGACTGTGACTCACTTTCCAATGACAAATTGACCGAAATTTATTATTAAAAAGTACACATCTTTAGGTTTGTTTATAATAAAATTATGAATAACATCAACAATGTATGATCGTATAAAAATAAAGATATCTGTAATTGTTTATTTTTCTAAATAAACTAAGTTACCAGCAGTTACATCCAACCTCTGAAGTTTCTATAACTTATTAAATAATAAGAATAAGCTTTACAGTTATAATTAATTACAAAGGAAGAACATTGTATGAACAACTTATCAATTTTTAATACTTTCTGTTTTAAGGTGTGAAACAAGTAAAAAGTAGTAGAAAACATAATCTATGGATTCACAGAAATATAATTTTAATAAAGATAAAATTTTACAGTCTATTCATATTTAAAAGAACTAAATGTTGAACTAGAACTTATGACCTTTTGCTGATTGCTGAAAAATAAATTTACAATAAAAATTGATGAAAATAACATAAAAAAGTAATATAAGTACAAGACATATGCCAAATTCTACATGGTAAGTGGTAAATATTAAGTAATTCCCAAAGCACATATTTCCAGCAATTACTTGAACAATTTTAACCTTTTAAATTGGCTTGATATTTAGTATAAAATGGTTTGCTAAACTAATTTCATTTATGATTCTATCATAGACATTTCACAAAAATGGGCAGGCAATAAAAGTTCCTATCTGTACCTGTAAAAACTAATCACATTTTTTTTACATGGTTTGTGTGTTCCATCGTTGTAGAGAATTGCAAAGAAGTTTTGTAAGTAAAGGGGAAGAGATCCATTTAATCAAAGCAACCACTTTTTTTAATAAGGTATGTAATTAGGTGAAAAGCAATAATTAAATTGATTGTGTTGTACACTTGAATCAATTAATTACCATTTCATTCTGTTGCAGATGAATAAATGCACCTCTTCAAGTTCTACAGAATTATTAAATGAAGGAATCTGCTTCAGAATTACTGACTGCATGTCGCTGCAACATCTGTGCTTCAAAGTTTGATTGTTTGTAATATTGTAATTCTAAACTAAATTTGAAAAATAACTTATTATATGGAGTAGTTTAACCGCAAATCTAAAAAAGAGTCACCATGTTGCAGGAAATGCTAGTAACTATATTAATGTCAATATTGTTATATAGATGTGTAACCTGTAGATTTAGTGTTTTATATTAGTTTGATGTTAATAATATGACAATTTTTAGTAATATGTATTAACTTTAATATAAAATATACACTAGCATAACAAGATTTTCTCGAAATTGGGAAATGCAGTGTATAGAAAATAAAAATATAATAAAATATAGGGAATTAAGTATCAAGTACAAAAGATAAAAAAAAATACCATTTAGTGAAAAATATGAAACAAAATTAGTTTATTAAATTTGGATGTTACAAATATCACAACTTATAATAAAACAAACCGTTTTTGAACTAAGTAATAAAAAATAAACAGAGATTGTATACAATTTTCTTACAAGTAATTTAAATTTCAACACAGGTACTTTACCCCTAAAATGATGCCTCCTAAGCTCATTATTTTTCCTCGTTAAGGAATCTATAGGTTTCACATCTATGGAGAATAGTAATAACAAAAGAGTTAATATGCGGAATCTTTAGGTTCATGATAATTTTATGAATTTATTTGAGAAACTTAAATATTGTATTCTATTTTTACATTACATTATATTTAACATGACTTTTACATTTGCAATGTTTTGATAGAAAAAGTTTGGATTAGGGGACTATTTGGAGCATCAGCAGTGCAGTTGGCGTTTGACCGGATCATATTTTACATATCCAGGTACGATCTCCGCTATATAGTAATGCGTTCTTCGAATTTCATGATAACATCCATCCGACATTCTTACTGTAAGTACAAATCGCATACAACTGCATAGAAATTCAAAGATATGTGTGGAGTCAACCAACCTTCACTGGCTCTCCGTTGTTGAATAAAACCTAGTCGCATTCTTAAGGGTAGGCTCCGAGCTCCTCAGTGGAATATAGTGTGTCCGTATAGTGAGCTTGATGATGACGATTTGTTTTGCTTCAATGCATATTGTCTTGTTAGCAATTTTCTAAATATTTTACCAACAGATAGGAGCTAATTTCTTTCCAGTGCTATTCTATTTCTCCCGACGAGAGTGGCACTACTACTCCAGTTCTATCATAAAATATGAGCTGTCAAATAAACAAACTGGAACAAATAAGCATTTATTATAGTTGGGGTATTTTGTTGGTGAACTAAACAATAATGGTATTATTACGAAAGCAATGAGCATTATGTTGCGTTCTTAAAATATGTTCGCTTTAGTCAGAAGAATAAATTAAAGTTGCAATTAACGAAATTGTTTTATTTTTCCAAATTGTTTTCCCTCGAATAATACTTTCAAACGTTAAAAAGGAAACTGACAGATAGATTTTTTTTAGGTTGGTAGAAACGTAGACTTGTTCATAATATTGCTAGCATTGAAAATGACAATTTTTATTCTCCGTTTGTGTATCTAATTAGTCAAGACTCCCGTCTCTTATTTTATATACTCTTTGTATCACACTCATCCATCCTTACATCCATTCGATTTTCCACACACATCCAATGGTAAATTTCTTGCCATCCTCGGCTGACAATAGAATATTGGACCAGGGCTTTACATTTTGGCGATACTCAAGCTCCAATTAAATTTAAGCCATTTTGTCATTTTTCCCAGCATAGCACATTCGTCTAAATGAGGATATTCATGAAGGGAAATAAATAAAAACCAAAATTAGATATTTTACCGCATAGTTTATTAATATTTCAGTAGACCCTTTACCAAATTATTTATAAGTAAATAAATATAACTACATACTTGGTAGTAAGTACCATTCCTTTAGCATACGTCATCAGAGATGATAGGACGACAATTCTTTTCAACCGCAAATAAACTTTTATCATAAAAACAAGCAAAACAGCTATATCGCAAACATTTCACTATACATACATATATATATATATATATATATATATATTAATAAATAACATTTCTTTTATTTTGATATATTCTCTCTTTGTAAATATATAACTCTGAATGTGAAACACATTTTCACACATCTAAATATTATAATCTGTTTAAACAAATTTCGAAAAAATCTTATATAATTATACTCTTTCAATTATTACTGTTCTAAGGCACAATCTGCTAACATGATATCGTATCTATCACTCATTATTCCGTACCGATTGCTTACGAAAATTAATCATCTTTATTAGTAAATATGTTATTTCTTAACCATAACACAATAAATGTAACAGAAAAAAATATCAACGAAGTTATCAATCTCTCTACCTTTACAAATAATTGCTTTTATAATGATTTATCTATCTTACAAAGTACACACATAACAACTTAAAACAAAATTATAATGTTGGTAAGCTGTGATTTGGTATTAAGGTGAGGACTGCTATACTAAAGCATTTCTGTTTATAACAAGTAAGAGTATATCCATTGAAACCTGTTCAATATATATAGCCTTTGACTGCAATGACATGTATATAAACATTATTGTATCTCTTGTTACAAACTAAATGTGAGGTAGAGATGGGTCTTTGACGGTTTAGGTATCAATTAATCAAAGCATTAAAATACTTTTTTTCAACTAGTTTACTAAAAAGTTGAATTCCGACAGCGAAATGACGATTAGTAATTGACTCCTTTGTAAATTTACATTGAATTCAACTAGTTGAATAATAAACGATTAACAGTTGAAAGTTTATCATTATCAACGGTTGATACAACTAGTTGTTTAATCAAAGCCCATCCCTAACATGTGTTTATATGTCAATACAAGACTCAATGCAATCAAAGTCTACAATAAGATAAACATTTATCTCCAAGGTCTTCAAGTTGTAAAGACTTAACACTTGTTCAACCAACTAATATATTTCTGAAAATATTCATTAACATGGAAAAAGTTACCGTCTTAAAATGTTTTCGTTTATAATTTTGTAATTAAAATACGTTATTAAAAACTAATTATTTCTTTACTTATATTTGCATATCAAAAACTTTATCCATGCCAACAAATATTACTTTTACCTGATAAATTTTTAACAATTATAATAAAACACACCCGTGGAATGTATGCCAAACTATGTTTAAAAAGGGATTTAAAAAATACTGGTGTATATCAATTACTATTTTACTTTGTAATTATATAAATTTATGGTATCTTTGTGTCGATATCTCCATTATATGTTGCTACCACACAAAAATAAAAATATTTACCACAAACAATGAAAAACAATGGCCTACTGCTGACTAAAATAAATCGAACATGAGTTTTAAATTATAAGTTTTGCATTAATTAAGTAGTAATTAAAACATTAACACTCAATATTCGATTTATTAGAGTCGCAGTACAGCCATTTATGTAGACACTTCTATGATTCCATAAAACTCTTCAATTCAGAAAAAAACATTTTATAATTAAGATCTCTTCTTAATTTTATTCTATAATCTATAAATATATTAACTCTATTAAATATTAAAGGCAATATCTATCGTTAGATATGGACGGATTAAGTAAAGGCGCCCAATGGGGTTACCAATTAATATTAATAGCTCTTAAATAAATCTATACTATGTCGCGGTGTAGCGGTAGGGACCATATTAAATAATCAAGTCTACATATAATAACCAACAATGAAACAGCATAATATAAGAATCTCTATAAATAAATATTTCGCTCGTCTCAGGTAACTCACTAGGTCCACATGTCAGGGACGGACTACCGTACACCGGTTAAAATCTACTAGCAACGTTATAACAAAACAAAATATATAACTTCGTTGGTAAACATAATTTCAGTTCCACACTAAGTCAATTTTGTAAACTTAACAGGCAAGACCACAACCGATATTAAGTACTTATTAGCTACAGGAATGTGAATCTCAGGTTAGGGATAACTCCAATTGGAATGGATCGGATCGGACCAATCATATTATGAATATCCAATTCAAATTGCATCAGTGCTAAAACATATTTTATAACTACAAGAAAATAGTACCGCAATTTTATTATCAACCAGTTTTCTACTGATTGAGCACCAAACAACAAATAGTAATTTAAAAAATTGTCAATTTTTTAAACAACTTTTTTTCTTCTAATAGCAATTTAAGTCGTTGCCAATTAATAATTTAGTAATAATAATTAAAAAAAAATATATTATACAGGCACCGGATACAAGCACGCGTTAACTCGTGATAATCATAAATCTTGAGGAATGTAAAAGAAAACTATACTTTTGTGCGAACAGATAACATAAAATTCTTCGTATATGTTGAGCCTTGATCAAATCATTGAGCAAATGCCATTTCCCTACTAGTTTCCTCTCATTTTAACTTATTAATAAGGCTGATATTTTTAAGTACATGTTTAGTTCTAAATGTTTGTAATTTAGAATAATAAATAATTAACAACATAATATTTTTTAAATTGTACATTAAGTATTAGTCGTGGACTTGCATCACATGCACTAAGACAACATAAAATGGAATGTAGAATTTAATTCCTGTCTGTCATAATAATCACAATAATCAAAACAATATTGGGAATGTAGGCTTAGCCTTTTCTAATAATCTTGTCAACATTGAAATGTATAAATATATTAATTTGTACACTCTTCAATTTAAGTTTTAAAAACACTTGTAAAATTGACTATCGCACCAAAATACCTCGTAATAAATTTATTTTCGAATGTTCACGTACTGTTAAGTACTTTAAAATAAAATAAAAACAATAAATAAAATAAAATATTATAAAGACAAAAAAAATTCAAAGTATCACTTCATTTCCCCACCAAAGACTCTGGTATTGGTCGAAAAATCTCAAATAACATGGAATGCATCTCGTTACAATGGAATGTAAAATCTCGTCAATTTTTTTTTTACTTTTAGCTAAATGAATCCACATTGTACCTAAAACTCCAACTATTTCATACCCTTTAAATATTAAAATATCCATACAAATAACCAATCATTAACTATGATAACAACTAAATAACTTTCAAAGTAATTTGCACTTTTTTTTTTATAACAGCTTCGGGGGGACGTTCAGCGTAAGACAAATTCGAAGACTTTCACCTTGGCGTGCTGATAAAATACACATTTTAAAAAAGAAACAATAAAACGATTGGAATAATCCTGAAGTGCATTAAATGCGTTAAAATCGACATCAAAAGATGGAAGGTGAATTGGCTTCGAAGTGTTTACGTAATATGCACAAAAATTATGCGAAAAGTGCATTGCAATCAATTGTAGTCGAACGGCCCCCCTGCAAACAGTCATTGATGACTTTTGCTTAGCAAGTGGGAGTTGAATTCGTACACATTGCAACACTGTTCCCCGCAGATGTTACATTTCCATGGATTGGAGTCACAATGGCATCCCTTGTGTAGGAAGTATAATGTGGAATCAGGGAACGTAATGGAGCAGAATGAACATACGAGCGAGGAAGGCATCATGGCTGCGTCGCCGTGAGTCGATGTTATCATACCGCCCTCTGATGGTGAAGCTCGGGATGCCTGGAATTCAAATTCAATTCTAATGTTTCAAATGTAAATAAAACTTCCGAAAGACTAAAATTAATACTACAATCACCGGTCTCTATAAATGGAACTGTTATGAGGCGGGGTATTTTGTGCCTATTTGATTTTCGGCATTTTGGCGCAGACTGTTGTGATTTATAGCAGTGTTAAGAACTCTAAACAGATACATAAAAGTCAAAAAGACCTATCCATTTATATAGATAGAATAAACTAGGCCAGGGGTAATCAACTTGAACAAACCAGATATGTATTGTTTACTGAAGAAAAACATATGCAAATTTAATCTTACAAAATGACAGTAGACTTTTCCAATAAAGAAATTGAAATAATTTAAAGAAAAGAGACACTACATATAATAGAAATAAATATCCTAAAATAAAAATTAAATACACTTACATTATTCCCTCGAGATCTGCCTCGCGCCGATATGCGTCTACGTAAATCCTCCCGCAGCAAGCTCTTGAGCGGGGAGACTTTGATCAGAGATGACAGACTGGAGGACACACCGCGCTTGTCCATACTGTTCGCTTCACCGTCACGTTCTCCACTACCTCCTTCTTCCTGGGTGTTAGGTTCCTGAAACATTTTATTTTTACTAATATTATAAATGCAAATGTTTGGATAGATTGCTCTTTGTTAGAAGTCGTCTTCAGAATGACTGCATAATTCTCGCCGAAATTTGGCATAGGTAATTCTAATTAAGTTTTTTTAAAATTCCACGCGGACGAAGTTGTCGGCTACTGCTAGTAATGTTATAAATGCAAAAGTTAAAATGGTTAAATGCTAACATCCAAGTAGAGGGTATCTACACAATCTATCATCACAAGCCGTTAGGCTAAAGAGATCTCGATGAAATTAAGCACATATGTACAACACAATCTGCAAAAATTCATTAAGTTTTTATTAATTCGCACGAACGAAGTCGGGAGAAACAGCTAGTCTTCCTATAAAGTTCTGGCTTATGGAGGTTGTCCGATGGAATTATTGTCCAGTTTCTTTCCATTATTATATTATAACAACCTCAATAAGATTACTCGGTTATCCAGGTACATTATATATTAAAATATGTAATTTTTTTATAATGATTACTATTAAAATTGTCATTACCATTTCATTTCTTCATTTTCAAATTAAGATTTAAGAACATTACATTAATTAGATAATTATCCACTCTTAATCATTGTCATTCCATTCTAACAATTATAAAATTGCTCAAGCATCTCATTATGTTTTTATGTAATAATTATGTATGTGAGCTTGTAAGTTAGAAAATATACCCTTAATACATTACTTAATTTAATGTTACTCAAGTGTTGAGCTTAAAGATCAAAAGATATACTAATATAATAAGTGTGAATGTTCAGATGGATGGATGGATGTTTGTTAAAAGGTATCTACAGAATTGCCCAACAGATCTTGATGAATTTGTCACAGGCCAGTTGAGTGGTCTGGAAGAACACATAGACTACTTATTAAATCTCTTTTAATTAGTCGCAGACGGAAAATTGTTATTAATAAAACTAGAAATGTAAATATTGTTTACCTGTTTTATGGGTATGAGAGTAATTGATGGTGTAATGTTGGTGGGAAGACCTGCTGATAAGGAGCTGCTGGCCACGGCGCTGTCGCCGGACTGCGGTGAACTTGGGCCTTCCCCATTCATTCGTGAATCTGATAACAATATGTTACTAAATTAAGAATATAAATTAATTGAAATGATTTCCTCCATTTTAATTATGATTTATCACAGTTTATTGAACAATTATTTTATTATGACAGCTTATTACATTCAATTAAAAATGCATCATTAATAAAATTACTTTCATTACTCATTAATTACAAAATAGAATAAAAGTATTATTATTGTAAAGTAAAATTACCTGAATTACCTAAATGGTTGGACTGGCCTGGTGAATATGTTTCGTTATTATCAGGCATTGATATTTCTACATGAGGTGTCAAATAATGCATAGGTGGTGTAGCATTATCTACAGATCGCTCTCCATTACTGTCACCACTGTCCGAATAAGCTGCAGCAACGGACACTGACAGACCGGAACCCAGAGACCCTAAAGCGTTAATAGTACTAGGGTCCATTGCACCATCGGCATATGCTGCATTTGCAATACCAGCAGCCAAGAGTGACACAGAATTATTCCCTGGACCAGGATTATCTAAATCAATGCCATGCCTGTAAAGGAAAAATATTATTAAAGACAATATTGCTAGAAATATAAATATTTCAAAATAAAAACTACATTTTACCTGTTGAAGAAATGACCTCTCAAGCTCTTCATAGTAGGAGCACGGTAGCTACAGAGTGGGCAAGTCTTAACAAGGTCATGCTGACCGACATGTTCATTTTGAAAATGTGCACGCATAGCAATTTGTCGCTGGAAACCTCGATTACATATTGGGCAATGATATGGCAAGCTTTTTGTGTGAGTTGTAAAGTGTTCAGCTAAATGATCTTTCCTGAAGAATCTTTTTTGGCAAACGCGACACTCATATGGCTTGACACCAGTGTGTCGCATTTTATGCCTGCGCATGTTGGCGCCATTTGAAAACTTCATATTGCACACATCACATTCAAAAAGTTTTCGGTGCGGTCGCGCATCCGTATTTTGTGCCACTGCCACATTGTTGTTATCTGGAGAACACTGGGCCATATGTGTAGTTAATGCTCTACTGCTTAGTGTACTGAAACTGTTGCATGTTGTACATTTTAATAATGTACTATTTGCCTTCCTTGATGTATCTTTACTTGCAGTCGCTGCCTGAAATTAACAACAATAAAAACTAATAAGTGACAATATAGATACTGTAAATTTAACTTGCACAATGGTATGTGATAACCAATTATAATTAATAAACTCTATTAGCTATTTGCTATTATAATTATTGCATTGAAGTAAGAGATATTGTATCAACATTGGACAACACATAATAGTGAAAAAAGAGAAACAGGTTGATGTAAATATTTGTAATGATTTTTTAAACATAACTTAAAACCCAATTATAAGGATAAATTGTTAATACTTTCAGTATGTACTACTGGATGTACACTACCAAAATATAAACACACTAATGAATTAAAAAACATTTGTAGATAAAAAAGATACAAGATTTTCAGATGAAATACTGACCGGTTCATTTTTAACTGTTGTTAAGTTCGGCGACACCGTGCCTGAATCGGCCTCTGTTTCCCCTTTTGATGACATCACATTACCAGGTCGCGGCCTTTCTGATCATCACTCTCCCTCCTCGCGCGTCTACGAACATAAAGTACAAAACTCGTACCACATTCTCTATTTCTCACATTTTAATGTTTTAACACGACGTAACATTTGCTCCGTAATCAAAAAATCACGATATAATTAATCTGCAAAGAATGGCGAGGTGACCCATTTACGAAAACATACGAATTATCGACTCGCGATAGTCTATTTATAAACGTTATCTATTGTATCCTATGCTTATCCCGTACAACCAAAGCAAAATATGTAAACTAAAACATTAATGTTAAAAAATAAATGACCAACACAATTTGCTTACTTGATAGTCTGTCTTGATACGTCGACAGGCTGAACAGCGGTAATTTAGGGAGAGATCGCTATGTGGCCTAATTCAATGCTTGAACTCTATGCACAAAATACGTGTTACGCGAATAACTGTATGTGAACGAATAAGTGGGTCTCTACCATAAGCTCATATTGGTTGAACACAAAATTAAGTTTTCACACTTAAATTACTTTATTTAATTTGTATTATGTATGAAAAGAAATCACAAACATTTAACCATGCCCATTCTGTAGCACTACCTACTTTTGCTTGACTGCGAGACGAGACTGCGATGAACTGGACTGCGATGTGTTCGTTCGCATTCAGTTCGGAGCAGGGCTGGATTTAATCTCTCGAAAAACGTAAAAAAAGTTACCTATAGTGTATTATGTAGTGTGTTATTTGGCATCATTTTACAGTTTTGAGTTGGTTTTGAGAAAATTTCTGAGAAGAATCCGAAATTCCCATATGAAATTTTATGGAAATTATGTATAATAGAATATAAATTGTGTTTAAATATATTTTTCCTTTTAAATTGGAATTCATAAATTGCCGACATTTTGTGTTGTATGGCTTTAGTTCCAAAAAATATATGAAATATTGATGAAAACTGTTGTTATTATATAAATTTATTACTTAATTCAACCCTGGTTCTGAAAAATCAAACTGTGGTTCAAATATTTTTTTTTATACGAAATAAGATGAAGAATTAACACAGTTTTGCTTTTTTTTTTAATATTTAACAACACTTGCTTTAAGGTAGGTTTTCAGCAGGTTACAGCACTTTTAAACTAAATTCTAGAGATTTAAACTGGACACTGACTTCCCTTCAAGATTAAGTTCATTACTTTTTTGGTGATTATTTTTATATTTCAAGTACCCTAATTAGCTATTGTAAACTAGATGAAATTTAGTGGCAGTAAAAGTTTTTAAAGATTTGGTTTAAGCTTTAATTATATACCCCTTTTCATGTTTTTAGTCTGCGTCAGAATTGGACCAATATAACCTGTTGGCTTTACATTTTGGTTTTGGTGGAATAAATTATCTGTGTGTCACAAACATAGTACTCTACAAATACTCTTTGATTTATTTACTCTATGAAACTGTCAAACTTCAATATCATAAAAAAAAACTGAAACTGGAATATTGACGATTATTCATATAGATTTGGTTTTTGTGATTATCATTAGCGTAATATTTTAATGGTAAAATAAGATAGGAATAAAAACAACGAACATTTTCGCGATACAAACAGAAGAAAATTAAGCAAATGTTTTAGGAATGTAGTATTTTTTTTCTTAAATTTACTACATCTGTTATGATACATTACAAAACGGAAGCATTTTTTAAAAAACTTACAACTTCTGTTTAAACATCTAAAATGTGTTCTCCTTCAATCTTATCATTCTTTAGCCAGTGGAGGCTATGGATTCGGCCTTTCTTTATTGCGTTATATTTCATATTAGTTATTATTTTAGTACCGTTATTGGTAATTCATTCTATAAACAATGGGTTTACGAAATCTGACCAAGGTTCTTTAGTTGCTGGTGGATTTGTTTTGATGGCTTTACCAATATCTATATGGCAAATAACGCAACATATTGTTCATTATACGAAACCATCGTTACAAAAGCATATAATCAGGTAATTCAATTAAAAACAAGTTCTTATTATGTAGCTTATTCTTTTCCAGTTCTTCTAAAATCTCTTATAATTCAGTTTCTTATTATTTTGATTGATATGTTTTGTACATGTTACAGAATACTATGGATGGTTCCAATATATGCATTGAATGCATGGATAGGTTTGGAATTTCCTGAGCAATCAATCTACATGGACTCCTTAAGAGAGTGCTATGAAGCTTATGTGATATATAACTTTATGATATATTTATTAAATTATCTAAATGATGGTCAAGAATTGGAAGCAGTGCTTGAAACAAAGCCTCAAGTCTATCATATATTTCCCTTATGTTGCTTAACACCATGGGAAATGGGGAGGTAAGTAATTTTTTAATACATTGAAATGAATAAGAAAAAGAGCAAATAGTATCTCTTGAATTATTTTAATCTTAAAATAGTTTTTTGTTATATTTTTCTTTTTAATGTTATAAATGTTGCTTGTTTTCAGTGAATTTGTGCATAACTGTAAGCATGGAATCTTGCAATATACATTGGTGAGACCTCTGACTACTGTAATATCAATGATATGTGAACTATGTGGTGTGTATGGAGAGAGTGACTTCAGCTCCAATGTAGCCTTCCCTTATATAATAGCCATAAACAATCTGTCACAGTTTGTGGCCATGTATTGTTTGGTGTTATTCTATAGAGCAAACCGTGAAGAACTTAAACCAATGAAGCCGATCGGAAAATTTCTTTGTATCAAAGCTGTTGTTTTCTTCTCTTTCTTGTAAGTTTTATTAATATGCTTATTACTTATAACTTGTTGCTGTCTGATTTTCATCTTCAACAAAGGTATTTAAGTTGATAGTCCATTTTCTAAAATATATCAATGCTATGTTTACTCCAAACTTTATTTTCTAAATGTTTGGTAAATATTTGTAACTCCCAATTTCCTTATTTAAAGAATGTTTAATATCTAGTGTCTCTTGTACTTTGTTTTTATAGCCAAGGTGTCATCATCAATATTTTGGTATTCTGTGGAGTGATATCAACAATATTTGATATATCTGACCAAGATAAGATAAAAGTTATATCTTCAAAATTACAGGCAAGTATATTTTGAACTTTTCATTGTTTGTGTTAAAGCATCTATTGAAAACAGTTACATCTCATACTGAATCTATAAAGAGATGTAACTCTTCACTTTGGATGGCTCATGATAAAAATATTAAATTGTAATTCTCTGTTATAGGATTTCCTCATTTGCATTGAAATGTTCCTGGCAGCCATAGCCCATCACTATAGTTTCTCATACAAACCTTTTGTTTCTCCATTTGACCCTGATCGCTCCTGTCTAGGGTCGTTCTTGGCAATGTGGGATGTTTCCGATGTGAAACGAGATATAACAGAACATCTTGGTGTAGTTGGTAAGTAAATAATTTAACCTGTTTTATTGATATAAATGCATTTAATCTTTTTTTATTTTAAGTTGCTACAACTTAAGATGATATTGTGGTGATTTCAGCAAAGTAAGCTGAGTGAACATTTTTATTTAGTGAAATTCTTTTCATTTAGGTACTAGAAATGTAGGCATTTTAATTAAGTTCCTAACTATTTTGGAAAAGCAGGGCCTTCTATATTGTTGAATTAAATTTTATAATGTTTCTTTAGTAAACAAAATTATTAGCACCATTCGGCATGGACGTTCCCGTGTCAGCCGGCCGTCCGTACCCGCTCTACGTCGGGGGGCAGTTTCCGTGCAGCCTCATGTCACTATTTCCTGAAATCTTGATTATATTACTATAATTAATTAGGTCTATCTTCCTTCCGTATACCTGAGCTAGTTTTCTATTCATATTAACCTTCCAAATCAGTCCAGCTGTTTTGGAAAATGACATGAAACAAAAGCGGACTTGTAGACAGACAACTATTTTTTAATTGTTTTTTGTTATAAGTAACGCAAATACATTATGTGCCTGAAATATGAAAATTTTATTTCGATATAAGATACTCCACTTTTATTTATTTGTACAGAAGATCTAAAATTACATGAATTATGTGTTATCAATATAGAATTAGTAAATAGTAAAATAAACTTTGCTAGACCATTTGTATATAAATGCATTGTAATAATTTGATATTTTAATAGATTCCTGTTATTTCAAAAAGTCTCATAATATGTATAAATACATATTGTCAAACCTCGAATTTTCTTTTTAATAACAAGATAAAATGTTTTCGTACAAGTATAGCAGAGTTATTTCATGGTAAAAAATTAATTCTGAGTATTCGTGAAATCTGATTTACATAACTACCTGTTGAGTTGTACTAAATTATTTATATAACTGGTTGTTAAACTGTATAAATAGATAATTTAAACATTTTCCTCCATTGATGGTATGACGTCATATGGTTTTTCCCATATACTTGATCTTTCAAAGGTTGTAATGACTAATATTTTTTCCAGGAAGTACATTCAGTAGGCGTCTGCGAGGCAAATCTATGTATCATATGGCAAGAGGTTATGATGAAAGTTCTAGATTAGTGACTGAACCGGTACCGTCTAGTTCTGCGCCGAATTTGACAATGGACACGGAGCCACCAAATGTTGATATACGTTCAACAACATACGGTTCAATAGAGAACACAGTAACGACAGGTTCATTGAACTCCGAGACCGAACCATTGCTTGATATCACTGAAGACACAAACCGAATAGATCCGAAGGTCTAATGTCTAAGGTATGATATAAAAAGAGATATTTTCGCTACTATAATAAATTTCCTGCATAATATTAAAGTGATAATTGTAATGCATAAGTTGTTTGTTGCATTCCCTGTGGATATTTGTAATTATTATTCTGTACTTAACCAAAGTATTATAATAATAATGTGAAATGTAATATTTCTTTCGATAGATCTTGAAGAATTGTTTTTTTTTTTACCTATTTAATTATAATTGTTTATTTTTTTGTAATGACAATACAATGTCATCAGTTATATGTTCATTTTGACACTTTAAATTGTATTTGCATGAAATCCAAGAAATTATTTACTATATAGATTAGCTAGTCATCGGATCTAGATAGTTTATAAGAAATATATTAATACATATAAAAATTTGTTTACTTATGTGATATATGTTATATATTGATGTATACAATAGTTGCATATTAATAAAGTTGCATACATGTTTTTTAGTTGCCTAAAATTTACTTATGTAATTATTTATTTGTATGCATTTTATGTTGTGATATTGCACTTTACTGTTAAATAACATTTAAATAAAGATATCTAATATGTTTATGTTATTATAATTATTAAAGTAATACATGATAATTTTTTAATCAGCGTTTTATTTTCATTCAATAGCTTTTTATGAAATCTTAGTAATATTATAAATGCAAATGTTTAGATGGTTGGATGTGTAGATATTTGTTTGAAAGTATCCCCGGAACGGCTTGATGGATCACAAATTAAATTTGGCATGGATGTAGAACATAGTCTGGAAGAGGCTACAGACAGTTTACAGACAGCTAGTTAAATATATTTATTAGACATAGGATATTAAAAGCAAAGTTATAATGTGAGTATATATTTATTTAAAAATTTATTATTAAGCTTACATTGAGGACAGTGTTTTCGGAAATATTTAGTTATGTTCCCTACATTGATATAAATACTGCAAGTTGTGGTGTATATCTAGCAAATATGCATCATATGGTCCCAAATATAGGCAATTGAGAGCTCTTAATATTTAATCAAATTAAGTACTTATTTACTCAAGAATTAACCTTAATCCTTAATAATACTGAGCATATGGATTATTGTACTATAAAAAATTCAAAATTTAAACTATTAGTATGCTAGATAAATTTAATGCACTAGCTTATAAATACTATTTTTATGTACTTGGATATGATATGTTTACTGTTTAATAGTACGCGCCGGACTCATCGCAAACACGAATTAAATAGATTAGCTACTGATGATGGACAAAGCGCTATGTAAAATCATACAAAGCAAAGTAAAATACTTGTACACTTCACATATGTAATGTAGTATAGATTGATTCTATTTATATTATTTGTTCTAAGAAATTATGTTTAATACCAAGTGTAAAATAATCTTTTTTGAGATCTTTTTTTTAATGAAGTATTGTAAAAATTGCTTATCTAGCATTTATAATGTCTGTCTGAGGTAACTTGATTATGGCATAATATTAAATATTTATAAATGTAAAGCTTAGCATTTTCTAAATAGATATTTGTTAATATTATTCTAATATATTCTATTTTATATCTTAATTACGATTAAGCATATAAGATTATGTATATATACAACATTATGTAATAGCTTTGGCTAAAGATTTGTACAAAATACGTGATTTGCATTATGGAAAATCGAAAAGCTAAATAATTATAAACTTTTAACTAAAAAAATTAATCCAAATATTTCAATTCATTTCTAGTTCTATTAAAATTCTCTAAAGCACTCAAACCCGCTTTAAGACTGTTCATTTCAATTTTGTTCCATATTGTTCCCATGATTATATAATAGAAACAAAAACCTGTTATAACTATTTTAACGAAATCAGCTAGAATATTATGAGGCCAAAAACCTACCGTGCCTAATAGGAACATGAACAAAAGTCCTCCACAGGTTAGAAATAGACGTTTTGATTTTGTAATAGTTATTTTAGCATCTTGACATACTTTTATAGCTTGATCAATTGTGTTATCAAACCGATCTTCAGCGCTTTGTTGTCTTTGACTGGTCTTTTTATCACTAATCTCTCTTATTCTTAGTTCTAATGAAACAGCATTGTGATCGGAATAAGAAAAGTCTTCACCCGGCACTCTGTCTTCAAGTGGATTCCCGAAATTCACAACATCAGCCTGAAATATTTCAACATGTTTAAAACAATGTTCATTCTGATAAAACTAAACAAAAAAAGATGACAAGACTTTTTACATGTCAACCATTTATCCTGCCTGGACAAAAATTTGAATTCATTCCGTTTGAAAATTAGTGAAATTCTTTTTGAACAGGAATTTAATACATGGAAATTAACAATAACAATTTAAAGGCAACAAATTACTAAGTTAAAATTACCTCCCAAGAATTATTGAGTTTGAACAGTATATGATCAATTCTTTTTCCTTCTGGTGCTGTTTTAGTCATCTTAGCATCTGAATAACTATTGTTAATATTATCACAAGTGCCGGATGCTTTAGCAATGGCTGGGTCATTGCCTTCACACTTCATGACATAAGGATCCAATAATGCTGGCAGTTGAGTTATTAATCTAGAAAAAAAAAATTGTTAGATTAACATTTTTGTGTAAAGCAACAACAGGAATAAGTAATAGTAATTTAGAATAATAGTAATAGGTACCCGCGGTAATATTTTTCCTCATTGGCATGTATTTGCTCACATCACATCCACAAAATATGATTTTTCTTATAATATTACATAGAAACACTTTGAGTGTTTTATCAATTGTATGATATAATGATAACATTGATCACAAACTGAGTACCAAAAATTGTTAAAGGTTAAAGTTCGAGTAATGATAGATAAAGTAAAATGTTAATTAAGTAATTATTTTGTTCCAATAGCAATTGATTCATTCCTACAGTCACAAATATTTTCAAAATTAATCATGTAATGTAAAGAGTTATCATTACATATTACAAAATAAGGTATCACATAATTATATCTCATAACTCTTATCATCAGATGGGTTAAAATATAAGTGGTACCTGAAAGACAAATCACCAGGAGCTGTGTTCAAATCTCCAGCGAGTATGGACACATCAGCAGGAGATGTGGTGAGGTTAACAAACTCCGCAGTGAAGTATGCTTGTAGCACCCTGTGTGCTAGGTACATGTCATCTTCATGGTATTCTGCGTGAAGCTGTAAAGATGAAAAAAAAATAATGGATTGGAAAAAGAGCCAGCAGCAAAAATAAATAGCAACCACTGATCATACACATTTGCATTATGTTAAAAAGATGCAGGCAACATATGCCTTCTTTTGACATACTGAAAAAAGAATTTGCAGAAAAAAGTATATAGTATGAGGTAGATAAATGTATTATAATTTATACTTTTAAGGATAGGTTATTTATCCACAACATATTTTCATCAAAGTTTAAGATAAAAGACTGGGTTAAAAGTTGCCCAAAAATAAGTATTGAAATTATTTCAAATATAAATTGAACCAACAATCTCAAGCCTAGCGATATACTAAAACTTTACTACAATATTGTAAAATGACTTACATGTGTGCAATATACATTTATGAGTTTGTCTTCACATCTAATTCTACATAAGCCCACTCCCTTCCCTCCAAACCAATCACCATGATGTATCTTATGGATATAGCCATTTAGAGGCCACTGATGGAAAAACACATCCTGAATCAGCCATTTAGAAAATACACATAACCCCGATCCCAGAACTCCACTGAAACATGTGTAATTTGTTATTTACAAAACATGCTGGATATTTATTGTAAAAGAAATTAGTATAAAAAGCTTGAATAAATTTCATGCAAGCTGTGAATATATAAAATTTCTTAATACTATGCCTGGCTAGAATAGCATAATGCTATAGAAAGGATAGTATATAAATTAAACTTTAGCCTTTATCTCTTATACAACATTATTGTATATTTACCTATAAAAGTAATGAGAGTAAGGAAGAACTTCCTTAAGGCTGTCTTTTAAGAACAAATAGTCTTTTTCACTCCAAATCTCTTGAAGGCACACAATGTTATGTGAACTATGCATAAGATATTTTGCAATCGCTTCGATTCTTTCTTTGCGATTTTTCGATACAGCTGGTATTCCCCTGAAATATTAAAAACATACAGTCTTTGATGGAATTTAGCAATGATTGAAAGGAAAGATTAATATTTACCAGCAATTCAGGGTGAAAATATTTAAAGTGAAGTCCATTATGTATTGATATTTACACTTTAATTAGTTATATTTCACGTCTGTTATTTTATAAATGACTAGGAATTACAGAGACGATGGTATCTGTTACAAGTTAAAAAATATATATTCTTGTATTGTATAAAAAATATCAGTACGTCTTAATAAGAAATACAGTAGGTACTATGTATTTCTTATAAGAAAAATCCTTGCGTGCGTGGAATAACGAGATTTCAATTTGAACCGAATCAACACCTGACATCGGTCTGCATGACATTGACATTTTGCGTTAATCCTGCTTGTGTTGTGTTGCTATTGTTTAAAGTATTATGCTGCGTTCAGAATGATACTTTGTAAATATAGTTCGTAAAAGGCGAAATTGAAATATGTTGTTCTTATATTACAATTCTCATTGATTTTACAAAGTGTATTTAACAACCTATTAAATATGTTAATTAAGATTAAGCTGAAACACAAAAAGCGAGTAGTCTTATATAAATAAAATACATTGCGAGGTTTGGGAAAATAAAAAAAATTATGGCTTTGTTGATTGGCTTAGAGTATCCAAAGTATTTTATTTTTCTGGTCAGGCTATACTTAAACTAAGAATGTCTCCGTGTTACTAGTATACTAGATCTTTACTCTATCCACATTATTTCTTTATTTATGATTCCAATTAAAAAGAGAAGCTTTTAGAATTCTTTTGAATTGAAGAAGAATATTGTTTAATTATCAAATGTATCTTTCGAATAAATTATTCATATTTTGTATTGTTCAATAGTTTACATTTTTCAATATCCGCTTCAGTTAATCCAGCAAGTTTAAGGGCAGTCGACATTTTTAAAGTATCCTTATCCTTTCTGTGTTTACGTCCATTTGCTAATGATTTTACTTTTCTTCTTGGCACAACTCCATTTTCGTGTATTTTTAAATGCTCTTTTAATTTTGCCTAGAATAATATGTATAAATTACAATAATGAAAAAAGTTAAAAAACTAAATTCATGAGCTTGAATATGAGTAAAAAAAAATACCTGACTGCTATAATCCGCTTGACAAATGTTGCAAATATGTTTGAGTTTCTTATGTTTTACTAATATGTGTTGTGTAAGATTACTATTTCTTGAGTAGCGCCTGAAAAGAGTAACAAAATTTGTATAGAGTAAAAAAAATTGGAGAGTGAATTTTAATTACTTTCGCGCGCTTTTACGGTTCGAAAACCTTCATGCTCCATTCTGAGAAATGTAAAACCTTACTTCTCTACTCTCTTACTAGTAAAACATAAATAAAATAATATAATTTGTAATAACCTGAAGCAGTCTGGGTAAGGGCAGGAAAAAGTTCTTCTTGGGTTTTCAGAATTTGAATGTGATTTCAAGTGTTGGATAATGTGAATTCTTTGGGTATAAGCTCTTCCACAATCTTCACAAATGTATTCTGAAAAACAGAATTTATGCCATAGCAAATAACTTTAATTACAGTATAAAAATAAGGTTAATATTGCATATTGTACATACTTTTGGCACAGTGTTCGGATTTTCGGTGTTTTTGGTACCTGGACCATTGGTTAAATATTGAGGAACATTCATCACAGGTATAAGTCTTGTGACATCTCATATGTCTCTTCTTTTCATACAGAGTTATAAATTCTTTTGAGCAAATTTCACAACTGAAATATGAATAAAATATAAGATAACTTTAATGTCTCATGTTTTGTTTATTTATCAAGTAATAATAACAAACCTGAACGCTTTAACTCCATTATGCATATACATGTGAGCACTTAATTGATGTTTCTTTTTACACTGTGCTTTACAATGATCACAAACAAATGGTAGACTGACTACATGTTTTTGTCTTATATGCTTCTTCAGATTTTGTCTATTTGAATATGTTTTAAAACATTCCGGGCATCTGTAAAGAAAGAAATAATTTTAACACTTAAAACAAATTGATAATTTTTTAGTATTGTTGGTGTAAATTTCTTTGAATTTGGAAAAATACCTGTATATAATATTATTTTTTTCTTTTTCATGGGCACTGGCGATATGACGATTTAAATGACTTTTATTTGAGTAAGCCTTACTACAATTTTCCCATGTGCATGGAAAAGGTTTCTGTAACATGCTTATGATAAAATAATTTAATTTATGATAATGTTAAAAATGTTTGTTTTGAAATAGGCAAAAATGCTTAGTAATATAACTTACAATATTTAAATGACTTAGCAAGTGTTGCTCTAATCTGTATGGTCTATTGTATTTGTTCTTACAGCCAGCTTGAGTGCAAACATACACTTTTGCATCTTTATTTGACATGTTTATAATCTTAGATAAACATTTGTAGTCAATAAATTAATTTATTTGTAAAATAATAAATTATGTCTAAGTATATTTTATCATCTTCTTAAATTAAACACTGTCCTTTAGAAAGCAGTCTTGCAAATAATAAATAATAAACTCAATTGAAACAATAATCTTGTTCATTATCTCGATGGACTTATCTATTACTAAAGAAAAAAAAACACTGCAAGTATGCAAACTGATTCAAATCCACACAAAATGTTAAAATATATTCGTATTTCGATGTTCAAAATAATGTGACAATTTTAAATTCACAATACAATTGACATTGGCGAAGGCACGGCATGGTAGTGACAGATGTCAATTCAATTATCAAGATTTGTGTAAATGTACATGTTGCCAACATTTCTAAATTGAAAAAAAATCTCCCACATTAAATATCATATGTTTCCTAAATCATGTAAAATAACTCTCATTTAATATTTATTACACATAAAAAATTTACATTCAACTGAGACTTCTATAAATCTATTTTTATTTTTAGAACAGCGTAAAGCCCTTGGAGCGGTACTATTTTACATTTAAAAATGGCTACATTTTTGTGTAAGTAAATGACATGTGTGTCAGTTTACATTGCCCTTTCATTCGGATTATTTTTCACAATAAATTTACAACATACTTGCATTACATATTTTTTCTGTGTCATATAATTCAATTGGTTTTAAGCTTTCATTAATTTTTATTTCAACGTACCAAGAAAATAGATTTAAACACGAAATCTACATCAGCTGTCGTACGTAAACAAAGGGAATGTCAATGGTAGTGGAGCACAAAAGTGCGTTGTGATAATATCAAACATAATGGATGTGGACGGCTCAGCTATTTCTGGGGAGATAGACCAAAATTTGTTATTACAGTTCAGTTGTATGAATACAACTGACCGGGAAGAACTGATAGGACAAATGCAAAGATTGTTGGGACCCAGTTTAAATTATAATACAGCAAGTTTCTTTCTGGATATGAGTAACTGGTAAAAAAAGAATTTAAAGTGTTTTATATTACCTCAATGTTGTATGATTTTATATTATTTCAATTATTTAATCTTTTTCAGGAACTTGCAAGCTGCTATATGTTGTTATTTAGACTATAGTTTGCCTCCAAAACTTCCATCCATGTCATTAAAGAGTGCTCAAAATCCTGAAACTGCAGTTACCCCAGGTTCTTGGTAAGATTCGGAAGTAGAACATTTTATTTTGATTAAAACCTATTTTATGTTTATACTTTTATAAATGTTGTCTAAGACAGTATTATTTAGCTATAAAAGTTATTACACCAAAGACATTTAACAGTATCATTTTTCGTCTATAGGTTCAGTTAATGATGTCATTAAAACAATAAGCTGATAATGTTAAAGTTTCTGATTACAGTTTTGAACAAAGCTGGAGTATTGCTAATACAGGAGCAGAAGCGTGGCCTGGAAGCTGTAGACTGATACATGCAGGGGGGGAACATTTTGGTGCAACTCCGACGTACCTCCCTGCCTTACCTCCAGGACAATCTATTACTGTGACCATGAAGTTACAGGCACCAACTACACCTGGTATACATAGAACTTATTTCCATGTTGTGACTGACAAGGGTGACCAAATAGGAGGTAAAATCTTATAGTTACTGATTTAGTGATAAAAAATAGTATTGACATTCATTTTTAATTGGCTGTTTGTAAATAAGTCCATAGTTTCAGTATGGCATTTTGATAATAATTTTTTTTTACTACCTGTTGCCCACAACTATATCTGCTCTGAGTAAAAAAACTTAAATAGAAGTCTATGTGTTCTTCCAGGCTATGTTCTATGTCTATATCAAGTTTTAGAGAGATCCATGCAGCTGTTCTGGAGATACCTTCAAACAAACATCCATCCATCCAAACATATACAATTTTAGTAAGATTTGCACTTTCAATGAATAATTGAAATGTGTATATTTTTTTTTCTAAATATTATTATACAATCTTTAAAAGCATAGCATGTTCAAAGTAAAATTTTTGGAATCTTTACATTTTTTTTAAATTTATCAAATGCAATAAAAAGTGTCTTGGGATTTCACAATACAAATAATTTTTATTTTCCTTGTGCAAGACAAGACATATGAGCCCCAGGATAAGTCTTTGCTATATTTCAGATACATTATGGGCAGAGGTAACAGTTGAGTCTGAAATGACTTTAGCTCTTGCGGAGCAATTAGCAGCTCTGCCTGTACCTAGTAGTAGATTGGATGAGGGTATGTCTCAGGTTTGTATTATTTTAATAATTGTTGAATTAAGAATCCTTTATAGTCTTTAATAATTTTAATTATTGGAAGTAGTTTGTGCTGTTTCTTCAATATTTTATTAAATTTAGGCATTGAAATCCTTGCTGGATGCAGTTAATATAAAATGATCCTTTATTTTTAACCGTATTCATCTTCGGTTTGAAATTTCAATTCATAAAGCTAACTTAGAATTAGTAAATTTGACTTAATTATTGTTTTATCTTAATTTAATTCAACAAAATAGGCTACAAGTTTCAATAAACCCGTTTAACATTTTTTAATTTCCAGGTGCCATCACAAGATGACCAAATGTGTTGATGAATTGAAAATGACTTATTTTAAAATCCAGTCTTGTTACTAAATGCATCTTAATTATTCAATATAATACTGTAATAAGGTTGCTATAGTTTTATAGACTATGCTGATAGCAATATTAATTTTGTCTTAATAATAAATGGGGCTAATAAAGTAAATACATTGTACAAAATGCTATTGTAATATACAGTAGAAATGTTTAATATCTATAAGGCAATAAGACTTGTGAATTTGTTACTGTTTTAATATTATAGTAAATATAAAAACTTATTTTTTCATAGTAAGATTTAAATGCCATTTAGTAAATTTTTGGGGTTTCATTTGTAGATTTAGTTTATCAATTTAATATAGCATTGGCAATTTTTGATATATACTTGTGTTAATATATATTAATGACTCAAAAACTGTTGTTTCAATTGTAAAAATGTTAAATCTACTTAAAATAATTTGACCTATTTTTTAAAATCTAGATATTAATATGTAAAGAAAAAAATATGAACATTATTTAAGCTTGTTATACAGCCATTTCCATTTCAATTTTAGGATGGGGATTATAATTTTTTATGATAAAGTCTTCATATTTGAAATCGTCAATTGTTTCAACTTTCCGAGCAAATTCCAGTGTTGGAAATGGTTTTGGTTTTCTCTCTAATTGCTTCTGTAATGGTTCAATATGATTTAAATATACATGAGTATCACCTGTCGTGTGTACAAACTCACCTGCCTGAAAAAAACTTAAGTGTTAGAAATTAAAAAATACCATCACAAAATAACAAAGCCTAATTCTATCTAGACCTTGTTGGATTTCCTGTAGTGTTTCTAAACTAATAGAAATTTATAACAGAGGCGAGAACAGACAGGACGAAAGGATTTATCCTTTTGTTTTTGTTTCCTTTCTTCTCTTGAATCTTACTATTTTTCAGTTTTTAGTAAATTATTGGAAAGTATATAGGTTCTTATATGTCAAGCCATTGATTGGGTTGGTGAAAAAATAATCATATATAATCACATTTTGTGGCAGTTTCCAATTTCACACAAAACACATATTTAGGTGTTGTAATTGCGAGAAGTATGATAACAACTTTATGCATGATTTTTTGGTGCCTTAATAGGGAGTGTTTAGACAAGTATGCATAGCTCACTGTAAGCTGTTGTAAAGTTTGAATCTTGTAATACATAAACTAAATTACCTCTAATCCTGTGACATGTGCAATCATGTGTGTCAAAAGCGAATAGCTGGCAATGTTAAATGGCACGCCCAGCCCCATATCTGCACTCCTTTGATACATTAAGCAATTCAATTTTCCATTAGCCACATGGAACTGAACAAGACAATGACAAGGAGGTAGAGCCATTTGACTGAGATCTGACGGATTCCATGCACACATTATCATCCTCCTGTCGGCTGGATTATTTCTGCAAGTTATTTTAAATAACATTAAAATATATTAATCAAGATATAAATGACATAATAATAATCTATATTTGCATGTGTAATGGTTTTAAGTTTAAGTTGCATATTCAATCTCATTAATAGTGAAATTTCACTTAAATGTCAATCATGTCTTATAAAAAAAAGTTTATGGTGTATTGTTAAAAGAATAAATAACTTTCAGTGTAATATTTTATGGTTTCTCTATTTTGGAATTCAAAGTAATTAACAGGATTGTGTATAAATTTTGGCAATTATCAAAACTTACTTAATAGTGTTTATAACATTTTGGAGTTGATCAATCCCCTGGTTAGTATAATCAGTCTTTGCATCAATATATTTGGCCCCACTGTGTCTCCATTGGAAACCATACACAGGACCGAGGTCACCTTGAGAATTAAAACAAAATTTAAATATTTTTAGCTGAAAATAATATGCAAATTGAATGGATTAATTATGTATTTTTTAAGTAATTGGTTTTTTGATTTAAAATATTTATATCATCATAGTTTATAACTTATAGCAATAAGTTTCAAACACATAATACATACCCTCCTCTCTGTCAGTGAAACCTAAATTATCAAGAAATGCTCTGGAGCCATTAGCATCCCAAATGTGAACTCCTTTTTGGGCAAGAACTTTGCTATCTGTTGAACCAGATATCATCCACAGTAACTCTTCAATTACACCCCTTGTAAACACTCTTTTAGTTGTTAATAGTGGTAATATGTTATTTCTTAGAGAATACCTTTGCATTGCCCCGAATACTGACAGTGTACCCACACAAGTTCTATCAATCCTTTTGTCGCCTGCAAGTTATTATTATGTATTTTATTAAATATATGCCGCATTCTATTTAATTGTTAAATGAGAAACTCCTAACCTTTATCTATAATTTCTTTCACAAGTTTAAGATATTGGTATTCGTCATGGTTTAAATCTATTCCATTAGATTCCATTATTGCTAAATATAATGCTGTTTCAGATTGTCAGTACTACTTTTTTTGTAACAATACGTAACAAAACACGTCAAATAGTACACCTATGAATTGAAAATTTGTTGGATGATTGTGAAAGGAAGGTATTTATTTGATGTTTTGGCGCGAAATTTTTATAACTTTAAGTTGTCAAAGTGACAGTTTGTAATTTTTACAAGACAAAGGCACAAAGACTTTAGGATATATACTAAGTGACTGCACGAATAATTCAAATTAAAATAAAACAGAATTTTTAACACGTTCATTTGGTTTTTTTCTTGAGGTGTAATAATTTTGCAGTTGACTAGAAAAGTTATTCTTCAGTAGATCTGAAATAAAAATAGCAAAACTTTGATAAACATTGCACTTCTGCTTTGGAAAATAATAAATTAAAGACGTTGCCTGTAGCAACAGATTTGTTTCATTTAATAATCTGACTTTTAAAATAAATAATACAATACATTTCTCTTACATTAATACCATTGTGTATCATCCATCTAGGTCTATTTTTTTACAGTTATACAATGAAAAATTTAAACAATACTGCGATTTAATATGAACACGATTTGAGGAATTTGATGAGATTTTGTTCTATTTCAGAGAAACAAGAATATGTTTTAACATCGATTTGCATATATATGAGTTCTTCAACAACTAAAATATAAGGTAAACATTAATAGAAAATGTAATGTTAAGAAACAAACCATGGCAGCTAAAACAAAACCATACTGCAGCCGAATGTGTATGAGAATGAATTTTCTACTTTGGTATCGTCTATTGAAAAGGTAAATAACACAGAAATCAAAATCATATTTACGTTTTAGTTACTTTTAAGAAATGCCAGAACGGGAAGCGCCATGTCTGGAACTTGGTTCAGCTCCTCGGACTCCGAGTATTATCGCCTCTCCCTCGCCTTCAGAGATATCAAGTGCCAGTTCCCCAGAACCACCGAACGTTCGCGCTACACCCCTGTTCAGGTACAATTATGTTTTTGTAAGGACCCTTTTTACAAGCAATAATAATCTAAAAAGATACAGAAAAGTATCAAAATCTAAACTAATTTTGATCCGATTGATCACGTACGATTACTACAAACCCGGATTTGTAGGGTGCAAAAGAGTATTTAATTTAACGTTTTGGTATAGGGTATGATTATCGTAAGAAGAACTTCTTTTAATGTTGTGTCTTTGAATATAAACAGGGCTTTAGCAATGCCACCTCCAGAGCCGGCACAACCCCCAGGACAAGACGAACTAGAACGTAGGTTACCTGGCTACAGACGCATCGTCATACCCAGGGAACTAACGCTGATTGAACTATTGGCAAGTAACTTGTTTACATTTCGTACAAAGAATTTCATATACAATAATAAGCAAAGACGCATTTACATTCGTACGTAACATTTTGGATTTTGGCACATCGTTTCTTTAACATTCTTTCATTTGTATGGATTATTATGTATTTTGTATGATTTCTCGTGTATTTATTGTTTTGTATTGCTACTTTTATAGAAAGAGTGTAGTGGTGTAACGACTGATGAAGAAGTTTTGAGGATCCGCGAAGCGAAACTTTGTGTGGTGGCGGAGCGTGTAGGACTGCGGAGGCTGCACGTGCTCGTGCCGCGGCTGCGCTCTCTCACTTTAGATGGAAGCGCAATTTTATCATTACGAGAACTTGGAATTGGATTAAACCATTTAAAGGTAAAATGAATAAACTAAATTTATTTATTTTATTATTTCAGTTTAGTATCAAAAAGTAAGTAGGGAAAAGAATATATTGGGTATAATCCATGCGAAGCTGATAGTTGGAGATTTGGATACCAATATGGAGGATCGTCAAGGATTTTTCCTTGTTTACTTCTTATGTGAAATGCTTACTTTATTTCCTCCTCAACAGATACTAAGTGTGAATCGCTGCGGCCTAACGTCACTGGACGGCGTGTGGGGCATTGGTCAGCTGCGGGAATTGCACGCGGCGGGGAACCGCATACGTGATCTTCATCCACTGGCAGTGCTGCAGAAACTTCATACGCTCAATCTGTCTAAGTACACTCGCATAGCTTATTTTATTTCTGCGTGCAGCTAGGTTACCAGACTTTGTAAAAAAGTTACATTGCAACATGGGCTTCCCCTATTGTGACATTTGTGATATCATAACCTCAATTTCATCCCGAAAGAGATACGCACGCATATTACGAGTACCATTCGTTGATTACTAATTAATATATATTTTTTATTTAGTTATTTATTATTTTTTTCAAGTAATCCAATAACGGTGGCGAGTCGTGTATGGACGTTGGGTGTATGCAGTTCATTGCGTCGTTTATTTTTGAACGGAACACCGTTTTCACAATCGACTGACTATCGATCGACAATAGCGTCAACGCTATCAATGCTCACCTCTTTAGATGACCAGCCTTTGCATACGGATGTTAACAGTACGTACAATATCGACAAAGTTTCTTGATAAGACTCTACCGTGTTGTATCAGCAATATCTTCATATGATTTGATATGTAGCGTTTTGTGCGTCCCGGAGGCCTAATTTAGTCCTCTTTCCCTTCCCACCCTTTTTCTTATAAGGAAAGAAGGGGAAGTGGAAGTGGACTTTCCGGATGAGAGGATGCATAGAAAGGGAAAATGTTTTCTTTCTGTGCATCCTCTCTTCCGTCGATTAAAGGTAGGCAACGCATATGCAATGGCGTATGTCTATGGGCAACGATCACTTCGCTATTTCAGCGATTTAAGGAAGTCGCTCGCTCGTTTCCCACCTTATGATATAAAAAAATGTAGAATAACGTGATTATGCAAATTCATATTATTAAATAATATTTATTATAGACGAAGACTATGTGGAACATTTGGATGACTCGTCCGATTCGGAAAGCGATCGAGAAAATTCTGAAGAACAAAAGGAAGCTGAGACAGACTTTGCAATCGCTGGACCATCGTCACAGTCACAAAGAAATCAGGTAAAAACATAATATGACTAGAAGAATAAATTGTATAAATTCTATTAAAAATATTTTTTTTATGTTCCTGCAAAATCGAACGGAAAGTTTACTTGATGGAAATAGATGCATCAGTAGATCTAAAAACAACACGTGAATCTGTTTTTCGTCTATTCTATAATCTTTACAAATTCTTGAATACTATTCTCGACAATGTTTGAACAGGAGGCAGGCTGGCTGGTTTTATTTTAGTCGGGATCATCTGTATGCATAGATAAGACGAAATTTATTTTGTTCCTAATGCAGCCGGTGTGGAATATCGAATATCGTTTTAGATTTAGGCTGATACCAAAATATTCGACTTACAGCCGATGTAAAAGTAAAAATTATAATGTCTTTGGTACTTACCATATTTTGGTTTTTTAATGTTTATAGAAATCTGAAGAAGAATGTATTTCCATATTTTTTGGCGAGTATCCACGATCTTGTATACAAAGAAGACGTCCAGCGACTACGGAGAGTGCAGGTTGTCGACCAGAGAGAATAGAGTTGCCTCGAAGACCGCGCACCGCTGTTGACCGCCCGACCATAGACGCGCCGACACGGTTACAGATAATGAACACGTTGATGGGTATAGTCCTCGCTCAGATTAATAATTTTGTAGAAGAAATATAGACAAATGCGTAAGGATCTTGCCAAAGCGACTCATTTCACGAAAAAAGTGGATCTCTTACGAGGCCTTTTTAAGGGGGTTCGAAAGTATCTTCGCGAATTTCTTCGCATAATAAATTTTGAATTACTTTTATCTTATTCTAATAGAGACTAAAAACAAAGTTAAAAGTTTTAAATCCAGCTATGGTATTGCGATGATGTAGCTCAGTTTTTTTCTTCATTTAAATAGTTACTACATTAATTAAAAGATTCTTTTTGTTACTTAGATGCTGAATGGCGGAGTAGCGGTAGTAAATTGACTTCGAAAAGCGCTGTTTGTGGTAATTTAGCACATGCCTTGCGCAGACCGGCACATTCCATACAAGAGGAATCGGGTAAATATTTATATACGAACATTAGATTAGATTTAAACGTTCTACAATAGATCTCGACCTACGTGAGGTTCAATTTTTTTCAATATATTTACATATCTTTTATAATATGGTTTATTGCTGTCTATGCGTAGGGTTTATAGAATATGTTTTTTTTTTAAGTTTTAAGTTTAGTTTCATTGCAAAATTTACGTCCGATGAAGGAATGTAATGATGATTGCATATTTTTTTTCGCGTATGAACGTGAATTAAACAACTCTCACATGTTTCATTTTAACATTATTTTCCTAAGCACCGGTATTGGATTCGAAACCTACTTTAAAAATTGAAAATCTATAAATGAATTCAGATTCAAGTTTTGAATCGAGATGCTTGTTGGTTTACTGCAATTAATTGAAATTAATTAAATGGATACTTGATTTATATCAAACTAGCTGTAACCCGTGACTCCGTCCTTGCGGAATTAAAAACAAAACATAATGCGTAGCCTATATGTTCTTTCAGACTATGTTCTACATCTGTGCCAAATTTCATCAAGATCCGCTGACCCGTTCCGGAGATACCTTCAAACAAACATATTCATCCATCCATCTAAACATTCGTATTTATAATATTAGTAAGATTTTGGTTGGCCATCAGGATAAGTCAGTGGAACAGGTTTTTTTTTTAAATAATTACTTGTTTAATTACAGAAAAACAAATAGAAACAGTTGAACGAACTATGGAGGACGCATGTCGTTTTGTTGCCGCAGAAATACCTCGTGCGCCGTGCCAACAAGCGTGGCTCAAGTTTACAGAAGAAACCGGGTAGGACTCATGTTGATTTCTCCGATTGTTTGAATAGAAAGTTTGTGCACGTAACCTTTACAATCATAAGAAATACAAATGAATTTTAATGAGTAAAAATATGTAATACTATTGTTGTTAAATGTCGATAAAGTTGGTGTTGTACAAATGTTTAATTATATCATTGAATAGTGTATTGTTGTTAGAAATGTCAATCGTTGTTATGTAATGTTGTAAAAAAACTTTTTTAAAAGTATATGGCTTTAGTTTAATGGTATCGTTATTAAGTAAGAATTACCATTTTTTTTAATATTTTAGAGTAGTTGGTTTGTGTAGATTTTTATTTTACTATTTTTAACGTAATTATTATGTCAGTGAATTTAAAGTGTAATAAAAGTACAAATTAATTAAGTAAATTGAATGATATAAAATGCAGATTATCGTAGATGTAATCCAATATTTCATTGTTTTAATGAATAATAAAATTTTAATTTTACGACAAAGTTCTTATTTCAATATTTACTTGACATCTGTACAAAATTTTTAATCTGTAGGTACATAAAACCAACAGATGTTACGGTTAAAAGAACGACAATATTTTCACAGAATTGAAATCGATATAAATTTTAATGAGCGACCTCAAAGTGTGGATCCATCAAAAGCTTTGGATCGTTTGGAACGCATCGAGAGGGAGACTTCTGAACGCTTGAAGGAAGCGTCAAAAAATACTAATCCTTGGATGTCAGATTCATTCAAAATGTTGTCAGTAAGCAATGCACATTATTGGCGGGAAACAGAACAATTTTCTTCTATTTCAAATACACACAGCGATGTTGATTCTGTAATTAGTGACAATGGCGGCAATCCCCTTGATTAAACATTGCTTAACGTAATTAAAACTATTTTTAATGATTTTAATTGTAACATTATGCCAAAAGGACTTGTCCCTATTTTCTGTAAAATATATTGGCATTTTTATCGTTTTTGTTATTTTAAAATTTAGTTTTTAATTTTAAAAGTATGTAGCGTTGTAGCTAATATGCGCAAGTACTTATTTTGTAAATATTTTTGAATAGTGATGTAAAGATAAAATTTATAAGTGTTTATAAAGATCAGTGGTTTATTTATTTAATAAAATATGTTATCAATTTAATGTTGCATTATTTCTGGCTTTATCTTCTGACTATATCTTTGTTTAAAAACACTCTGATAAAAAGTAGTTTCAGTATAAATTTTGTAGTTTTAAAATATTTTTAAACTTAAATATTATTCTTATTGCCCAGTCGTGCCGTTAACTTGAGTTTGTCAAGTAATTTTAACTGATATCCATTTCATTTTAAGAAATATGCAGTTCTTACGTGTTAGAGTAAAAAAAATGTATGCAGCACACTTAATTTTAGTGCATTATCCCTGAAAGGTTAATAAACTTTGTAGCAAATTAGTTGTGAGTTCTTAGGAACTACCTTGTGAGGTCGTCAAGAACTTGCCATTTTTTGCAGGTTTTTAAACGTACGTCAGTATGTTCTTAGGTCGGTTTTTATATAATAACTGAAATGAAATGACATGACGTTGCTTTTTGCCTTGCTTGATCATATCATATATATTTTTTTACAATCATATATTTTGTTTAACATCAAACCTATAAGGAATCGTCAAGATATAACATAACTATCTCCTATAGCTACTGGTGGGTCTAAGACCGAAATCCACGTTTAAAATATAGTTTTGTTTCTGTTTTGTCAAAGATAATGACAGGGATGATGAAATTCTGGTCTCACAAACACACAAACAACGGTTAGTATTCTATTAATTAGACGGTAAAAAAGTTTGTCAACTAAGAAATATGTATAAAATGTGTTTAGGGCCGAGTAGGGGAGGGGACAAACTTACAAAAAATGCATTTTTATTTATATAGATAAGACTAAAACCTTAACTTTTTAAAATTTTGGTAGCAACGTGTGCGCGTATTTTTTTATTTGACCTTAAATAAGACATTTTGCACAAAGATCATAATCATTACATTTACCATTTGAAATAAAAGCTTGGAGGGGCAAAACGCGTTTTTCAGTATTCGCGCGATACGGACGCGCGCGAACGACTGTTGTGTGATTAAATATTTCTTTAAAATGAGTTTCACTGCTATTCAACGTTTTTTCGTATCGAACTTTTTAACCGTGTATTATAGCGTTTTAATTTTATTTAGTTTTTTATTGACTTTTTTGAGGAATCCCTTAAAAAATCCTTGGGAACAAAAATTGGTATTAGTACCACCAGCAAGACTTAGCGACTCAAAGTACGGTGTACATAAATATGTGAAGGCAAATGTAAGTACATATCATTTAACCCTTATGTTCATTTTGTATAGTATACCATATATACAACTCTATAAAAATATACGATCACTATAAAATATTTTTTAAGTTGGTTTTATTAAATTTATTTTTGCTTTTGCGTATTTTTTGCTTTAAAAAAATCTTGCCACAGTAAGGGTTTATATCAGAAATAAATATTTGTTAATTTAATTATTATTGTACAGATATGAGAACAATATTGTGTTTTTGGCAGCTTCTTTTTTAAATAATGAAGAAAAATATAGTATTAAATCAAATATTTATTGGAATAACTATTTTCAAAAAGGTCATATGAATTAGTATTTCGAAAAATCTTTTTACAAAATAAGTTTTCAGACGTAGTCATAGTTAAAGTTTATTTCTACAAGTAGGTTTTTCTTTTTCCAGCTGTATTCCTTTGATTTTCACGTATTATTGGCTAAGGCCACATCGTATGCTCAAAAATGAATTTTAACCAATAAAATGTAATAGCTATTTTCTCTCGTTAATTTTAACAATGGTCTATACGGAACCTATAAAAAATAATATTGTAAAAGTAATAATCGATAAACATTTATATAGTTTTAATAAATATAAATATTTATCAATTCTTTAACAGCACTTGAATATAATGGATCAATTTTGTCGGATTATAAATGACTTCATAAATAGTAAGTAATCTATCACAAGAATATTGGAATATCTAGTATTCAGTATGATGCAATTTTAGATTCCTAGGAATACTTATTAGCAAACACAAGGCTACGTCTACTAGAAGTGACTATCCGCACGAACGATCAACATCGACCTTGATACTGTCCTTTTATTAACAATGACATGTCTATGCATATTAAATACAATAACAATAACATCGGCTGTTTATACGCTTCCATATGCATGAACGCACATCAACTTATTACATAAAAGGAAAAGGTTTTTATTTTATTTAGCTTTACGTTCTTAAATAAATAACCGAAGTTGATTTATATTATTTACTAGACGGGTATATTGTGTAGAAATTCAAAGACTTATTCCCCACTTAGAAGTTCCAAACAAATAGAGATGTTTAAAGACATAAGAAGTTTTAATTACATTATTAAAACGAGATTTCATTTCAAAATTATTTTAAACTATACCGATATATATTCAATCTTATAAGCATATATGGAAGTTAAAAAATAAGCAAAGGAATTATAGTCGCCTTATAGGATTCTCCGTAATACTAAATATGTCCTAAGGATCGCAGTCTACTAAAAACAAGAATCAGTGTTCAATGATGATTCCCTGTGCGCGGACACAGGTAACGAGTAAATGAAAAGCGTTACTAATTGTGTAATGTGTAAACGCAACACGAGTATGTAATGCATCGGACACGTAAGCCGTTCCGCTTTCTGCTGAATATTTTCTTCAGCTGAATTGAAATATTATTAATTCTTTAAACGATCATTCAACGCGCTGTAAAACATTACTTCAGTGCCAGTAACTAACCAGCAAATATCTGAGAAGGAATTCAAAGATATGTGTGAAGTCAACCAACCCGCACTGGGCCAGTGTGGTTGACTATGGCCTAGTCACCCGTAACATAGGGTAGGCTCCGAGCCCCTCAGTGGGGAGTTATAGTGAGCTGATGATATAACTAACCTAGAAATCTTGAGCAAATTTTGTAGTAGTATAGATTGTACAAATCGATTAGTTCTTTTCATTTCAAAAAACGACAAACGAGGAGATGGTACTGTAATAAAAAGAATGATTACTGTCTGAACGACCAATTAATTTTAACTATGATGAATATTCCTATATTTCCGAAGGAAAATGAAATTTGAAAAGTAATGAAATGCTATAAAAACATTGCTGAGGAATGCACTGTAAAAAGAAAGTTGAAGAATATAGTTTAACTTTTGCTGCTTACAAATTTTAATCTGCAGAACTGATAACTAGAACTTTTGCTACTCTCTCCATAGCAACAGAGCGAGTGTAACCTGTTATTCTCCTTATTTAACTTTCTTTTTATCATAACCTTGAACGTTCGGTTTCCATTTGTTAACAATAGTAAGTACTTCACTGCTTGCACTTCGATTCTCTGCTGATCTGCGAAATCGATATTTTTTATCATTCTGTAGATTACGATAATCTATGGTTAGCCAATGTAAAAATAGAGTTACAATTAGCGCAACTATAAACGGTAATAAAAATTACTAGAAACGTCTTTGGAGCTAGAGTACACCTTGAAGCTACGTATTCCTAAATACTTTTGTTTGTGTCATACTTTATCTAATATATTTGCTCAAGTTAAAGGCACACTCATCTGAAATAAACAATAGTAAAAAATCGAAAATTCTTTTTCTATGAAGAAAAAATTTTGTAATTTTTCAATGTTTGTTCGTAGTAAATTACTTAAGATTCAAATACAACGATAACTAAATAAAATGTATCTATTTTCATGCAGGATATAAAACTACATTATGTTGAAAGCGGCGATCCTAATAAGCCACTTATGCTGTTTCTGCACGGATTTCCAGAGTTTTGGTACTCCTGGCGACATCAGATTGTGGAATTTAATAAAGATTACTGGTAAGATAAAGGGCTTAGTTTATTCATATCATACTTTCTAGTTATTAAAAGTTATAATATAATACATTTTTAAGTTTTAATGTCTGTGTCAGCGATCGATTATGTATAAGAGGAGGAGGATATATGTATATATATATAGAATTACTGGTAAAATTGCATATCAAACAGGCGCTTCTCAACGTGATCTGTTTTAGACTTTATAAAGGTCACTTTACAGAATAAGATAGATGGACCTTATGTTTTATACAAGTATATTGACAGTGGAACTTGTGGCTTTATTTTATATTGTAATGTTCAATATTGTGGCTTGTTCAGGTGTATTGCTGTCGACATGCGGGGGTACGGAGACTCGGAGAGGCCGGAGGAAGTGTCCGCCTACAAAATAGACCTACTAGTGGAAGACGTGCGAGATCTCATGCGGAAATTGGGTAAGCGGTAAATATACAACGTTTTATTTGTACAGTTTTAGAAAGTTACTGGTTAGCAACAAGCTTACACTTCGACGGATGTTAAACAAATGGTTTAACCTTGTAGTAACAAAAAAAAAATGTTAACTTTTTGAGTCCAATCATGAAGCGATAGCGTGCTAAAATATTCCTAGTTCTGATAATTAATCTTCTTATAACTAATTTGTATCGTACCTCGACATCGTTTAAGTAGAGATAAAGAAAAAGTTGCACGCTTGATTAGTTAAAGAATTTTTAAAAATAAGTGTATAATAGGGTCTAACTGCAATCCTATCCGATACTAAATTGATGTTTATAGTGTGTTGACTCTTCCCTTGTTTCTCTCATACGGATTAAGGCTATAAGGCCAGGAATAGTGAACTTTTACGTAATAACGTGCCATTTTTCTAGAGACTACAATTTTGACATTGTAATTATTGGAATACTCCACCTAGTAGAGATCTCCGGTTCTATAATATTTCACACTTTTTCCGAGTACTCGATTAATATAGTGACGTGTCTAAAATATTGTATCGCTTATAGTTAATAGGCTCACCACAACTTTACCCGTCATGGTTGGAATGTAGTTTTTGAAAGTCACATAACGGGTGTGATCTCTATGTGAGATTGTGACGAATGTGAAAGCTTATTGTTTTCTGATTAAATCCCCATCGTCAAAATTTGTTAAATTTTATAAATACACAGACTTATTGACTTGTCTGTATTTAAGTAATTTAAAAAAAAACTCATTAAGTATCACAAATGGAACAAAGAATATATTTTATTGTTATAGAAACTCATCGATAATATTGTTACATAATTTGTAAGCAGTAAATATGAAATTATGCATTCGCTAAGCATTATACTACGACATTGTTACATTGATGATGTTACAATTTATAAAAATCTTGTTTCCTAGGAAGACAGTAGATATTTGTCACGCTTGAGCTGTTAAGATAATAAGCAGTTATTATAAGTAAAAGATTGCCGTATATATTCCTAATTTACCACATACCTATATTGATGATGCAAATGTTTAGCGTTAAATTACCCTTAATAAAATCTATGTATTACTTTTATACTTTATAAAAATGTATATTAATACTGTAAATATTTTAATGTAACCGAGGAGTGGTAGAGTTCGGAACATTAAGCCTAATCCGCCAAAAAGCTCAACATGGAGAGACGTTAACTTTGTAGATAAAAAATAAGAACGAATTTAATTGCTACTAGTTAATTCAACTCATCATTCAGGTCTAAAATTCTTCAACACATTAATTAGCCGCAACACAAAGCAACATACCTGAATATAAGGATATAGTCAATATAAAAGATACCAAATGAATGGCGTGATACTGCATACTGTTCTATTTCTAAATTTATAAATATATACAATTTTAACGTTTGTTTCAAGGTCGCAACAAATGTATCCTGGTGTCTCACGACTGGGGCGGTCTGATAGCTAGCAAATTCCGTGACACTCATCCTGACGCATTGGACGCGGTCATACTATTGGGAAGTACGACCAGGGAAGCATGGAGCCACGAAATATGGAATAATCCTGATCAGAAAAAGAAGTCCTGGTATGAATTTTATATCTAAGAACTTGTAATTTCGTAGGCATGTGTATTATCATCATTATCTAGACGTCTCCTCCGATGGGCCCGGAGCCTACTCTAAGTCCCTGACTATGTTATAGTCAATCACGCATATCTTTGTAATTATTCGCAGACATCTACAGGTTTCATCGCGATGTTTTCCTTCAACGTAAGAACGTCGGATAAATGTAAATTAACTGCTACAATAAAACTTTCCATTTACAACGTGTACTCGTGTTGAATACATTCATGATATATTATGCTATGTAGATAGTAATATAAATAATCATTTTTTTTAATTATTATAGATTTATAACGTTAGTAAGACTCAATAGCCTAATGGTTAAGGGTACGGATTTCCGATCACGAGGTCGGGGGTTCGAATCCCGCCATTCGACTATTGTCGTAAACCATATCCTAGCACAAGCGTACAGCTTAGTTGGAATGGTAAAAGAAATATTAGTAAATTTACAAAAAAAATCTGCTAATATTTATATTAAAAAGAAAGAAAAAAAAAGAAACTCGCAAAATATTTTTCAGGTATACATTTTTCTACCGCATGCCGAAATTGCCTGAGCTGATGTTGCAAATGAACGATCTTCAGATTTTCGATAAAGTGTTGAGACGACAAGAAAATTACGTTGATGATAGTGACATCGAATGTTATAAATATTGGTTTAGAAAACAAGGTGAGAGATTTAAAGGTTTATACATCTTTAGTAACTTTGTATTATTTTATAATAAAATTGAATCAAATGATTCCATGTCTACATTATACGTATTACAAAAACATACGTGTTTGTGTTATGAATATTTACATACAAACACTTTAATAATAATCTACAAATGTATATCAAACTAATATTCGGTTCGTGATGTACCGGTTAATAGGAATGTTTGAAGATTCTGGGTATAACCTTAAAACAAAATATTTTATAAAATTTAAATTTAGTTTTCTTTTTAAAGCATATACTTTTTTTCAGTTGCACTTACGCCGCCTATTAACTACTATAGAGCAAATTTCCAATTGACTTTTCCTGATAAATATAAGGATGAAAATGTTCCAATGATTGTAGCCAACGGCGAAAAAGACCCCTACATAGTTCCCAGTATCTTGGAACGTATAAAAACAGAATATAAATACATTGAAACAGTGCTTGTGGAAGACGCATACCATTTCTTACAACAAGAATCACCGGGGAAAGTCAACAAGATTATACGAGATTTTCTTCTAAAAAATAAATTGTAAAATCATCAAGGAAAGTTTGTAATAATTTTTACCAAAGTTAGTTTTGCATAAAATGCATAGATAAAAATGTTTTATAGGTAATTAACGAAAATAAATACTATTTGATTTATTAGTTGCCTTTTTTATTTATTTGACCCGAGTATTCAAAAAATTGAAAAGCCTTTCAGCCGACTAAATTGAGCGCAGAGGAAGTCGCGGCCGATAGCTAATGCAGTGTAATCCTTTATATGTTCTGTGAAATCGATTTTTGTACATTGAACTTATATATTTTGTTTTTATGTAATCAGACTGTTGAATCATTGCGATTCTGATAGGAAGTCCTATCATAGGTTCTGTAACTGTATAATTATTGCACCATTATAAATGTGAAATGTCATGAATTATTGGTCAGCTTTTATCTGCCTATCAGACGGTAATTTATTTTTTGAACACAAGATTCATGTATTTACATCCGGTTTGAATGTAGTGTAAAATAAAATAACAAAAACTAAGCTGTGTACATATGCAATGAGGATTTAAATTTCAAATTATCTTTCATGGCATTCTTTTTTTTTCGAACAAAGCAAAATTTGGGTGGTTAAGTGTTTAAGCAGGTAAGTTAGATAGTAATTGCTGTTAATTATTAGTAGATATAGAGCCAGTTAACTAATTTTGGCAATTGAATACAGGCTGGTAGGAAGGAAGCAGAAAAATGGATTTCTAGGCTGTTACAGTTGTGTGGTTACCCCACAAATTATAAGATAAAAGTTGTACAAGATCTTTGTTCAATATATGTATTGTCGTGACTGCACGTTTACAGTGGTAATAGTCAAGCTAAAATAAACTTAGATAGTGATCTAAGTTTATTTTAGCTTGACTATTATAATTAACTGTTATGTAGGGATAATTGAAACTACATCGTCTTAAAATATCAAGGAATTGCTATGGAATCCACCAATCAGATCACTACGTTATCGACAGTGGCGACGCCACTCACGTCACGAGTATCTCATTCAATTTACAATTTAGCGAAACTATTTTTAGTTATTTTGAATATTTTTTTAACTTTAAACTTATATACCAGATGATAACTATAATAAAACTAGGACAAAGGTTTATCACGGCTATTTATTTCTCAAAAGTAAGTACTTTTAAGAAAAAAATACTTACATAAAATAAATAAAAACCAAAACTTTTTGGTATACGTTATTGTCTTATTAACGCTGCAGGCATACGCCTTTATTTGTCCTTGAACTTTGTCATACTCTACACCTTGATATAATGTTATGAGGTATACTCATTTATCACATGTACGTTCGGCACCGATAAGGACGGACTCGGACGTCTCTTGTCACACGAATATAGTCCACAATTTTATTTTAAAATGAATGTTACGGTTATTCAACGTTTTTTTGTGGCGAATATTTTAACTGCTGTTTATAGTGGCTTAGTTGCAATCGTTATTTTCCTGGGGTCATTGATACATCAACTTAAGAATATTGGTAAACAAAAGCCGAAATTTGATCCACCCGCAAGTCTTACTGATCCAAAGTATGGTGTGCATAAATATATCAAAGCTAATGTGAGTATAATTTTCAAAATATTTTATCCGATATTCTAATATCAGTCTAATTATTTTATTTTTGTTTTGGATCGAATCTAAAAGTAACAACCAACCTTTTTAGTGGTATTTTGTTAATAAACTCTAGTGTATTATTTTCAGAATGTGAAATTACATTACGTTGAGAGTGGTAATCCATCTAAACCACTTATGCTGTTTGTGCATGGATTCCCAGAATTTTGGTATACATGGCGGCATCAAATTCTTGAATTTAATAAAGATTACTGGTAAGCAAAAAGTCGAATTTATGAAATAGTCCTTACCGTAAATTTATACTAAAAACAGTTTTCTAATAATCTATTTTTTTATTTAATGTTGACTGTCGTGTCTGTTGCAGTTGTGTGGCACTAGATATGCGTGGTTATGGAGATTCAGAAAAACCAGAAGGAGTATCTTCCTATAAACTAGACATACTTGTCGAAGACCTCCGGGATTTTGTACAAAAATTGGGTGAGTGTGATCGTTATTGGTCATCTTTATTTTTTTTTGACAAAGTTTTTTTTTTGAGTCTGCGTTTCGGTCTGTGGCCGGCTCTAGTTTTACTTTAATTTTTATTTTTTAAATATTCAAATTTATTTTAAGGTCGGAACAAGTGCATACTTGTAAGCCACGATAGGGGTGGCATAGTTGCCAGTAAGTTTCGTGACACACATCCTGAGTATGTAGATGGTTTAATAATGTTAGCAAGTATAACCAGAGAATCTTGGCATGGAGAGATTTGGGGTAACCTTAAGCAGCATTTCCTTTCATGGTATGAATTTATGATTACTTTTTATTCCAACTATTTATAGCAGTAAAAACAGTACTAGCATGTAACTTGATATTTGTATCGTTAGTTTGTACTAATACTTAACCTTAGAATGGCATTGCACTAAACTTATATATTGACACTCCTTACTTTCTCTTAAAATATAGATGCAACAATATGTACAAAAGCACAGAAATTTAAATTTAATTTAAATTTGTGTACACGTCTGTATGTAAGATTTAATTTTTTCCTCTTTTCTCATATCAACAGAATAAAACATAAAACTAAATACTACGTGTATTAATAAAACATAACACTACCGTTTATTTTTTACTGAATAATAAAAATTTCGATACGTTATATTTTTAGGTATACTTTATTTTTCCGCGTGCCAAAGTTACCTGAGTGGGGACTACAGATGCGAGATTTAGGAATTTTTGATGTTATGTTAAAACATGGTGACAAAAACGCCGATAAGGATACTATTGATTGCTACAAATACACTTTTAGTAAACCGGGTGAGTAAATTATTAGGATTATACACTCACCGTTTTATGCCATTTTATTTGCTCGTACGTACGTATGTTAGTACTTATTTCTCGTTTAACTAAAAGTTAGACTGCAAGACTATTTTCAAGAACTTCGTATGTGACAATTTACAGTTCTATAGAAAGTTTTGTGTGCACTATATGAAGAAAAGAAGGCAGACTTTAAAAGTTAGATTTCATTTGCAATATTACATCTCTATCACAATAATGTTCTCAACTTCTAATATCAGCGTCAATCTTTAAATGATAATCAACTTTATTTCTACCTGCTGTTTTTTTTCTGGTCTTTCTTACAGTTAAAACCCACTTCGTCCAAACCTGCTGATAATATACCTGTAATTGCTGGCGTGCATCAGTATTATGGTTTTCTTTAATTTGAATAATTATTTCAGGTTCCTTCACTCCACCGGTAAACTACTACCGAGCGATATTCTCTTTGTCATGCCCAGAGAAATACATAGATAATAATGTACCAATGCTTGTCGCTAACGCAGAGAAAGATATAGCACTAAGTCCAAACTTATTAAATCGTATGAAGGAGGAATACAAGTATATTGAAACAATGCTAGTAGAGGACACACTTCATTTCTTACAAGAACAGAAACCAGAAAAAGTCAACAAGATTATGAGAAAATTCCTCGCTAAGCATAAATTATAGATTTAGATCATAATTAAAAAATTACATTGCACAACTTTTTTTCTTTCTTCTACGCAGCAGTCAATTGTTTTAAATGTTGATTTAGCTATGGACCAAATAAAGGATTTCTTATTAATTCAGTTTATTTGTATTTAAAAATATACGTTTCTGAACATCACAAATGATATTTTACGAGCTAGGGAACAAAGGTTATTCAGAATTGATCCTGTCACGCGATCGAGGGTTTACGAAAATATTTATTTATCTAGCTTTATGGGTAAATAATAAACAGTAGCTAAATTATTTAATAGATTTTACAAATATTACGTAAGTTTTATCTACATTTTGCAGAGTTCTTTGGAATTGTACTTTGTACTAAGGTGATTTGACGATCAGAATGACTCAGCTGTATTTATATTTTAACCTTGAGCTTTATACTCGAAATTATATGACAAATGGACTTTGATCATACACATTTATAGTCGGTTGCCGTGCTATTATAATAAACGTTTGTTATAACATGTTGCGCTTTTGATATTAAACAAAGTTTTACATTAAAGACTCATCGTACTTATCTTAAACCTATTACGTAAATCGTTGTCAGTCCAAAACACTACTAATCTTTATTTTTAATACTCTGTGTAATTGTTATAATTGCTATAAATATAGGTATTACACAATCTATTATCTATTCAGCCAGAAATATCGAAAAACGCGGACGTCTGTAGTCATTCACTGATGTACTCAACGTATCATTTTTAAAAATGGATTTCACCGTTATTAAGCGTTTTTTCGTCGCTAACATTTTAACTGTATTTTATAGTATTACAGTTACAATTGTTTCTTTATTGATTTACTTAAAGAATCTAATTTTTAATTCTGGTAAGCAATCAGTATTATCTCCACCAGCAAGTCTTTCCGATCCAAAATACGGTGTGCACAAATATGTAAAGGCAAATGTGAGTATTTATTATATTAGTATTAATTTTTGTAAATTTGATAAATATTATTTAAATTATTTCAAAATTTAATAGCAGTTAATAGGTTAATAGAAAGATTGAGTAAATGATGTATAAAATGTTATGAAGGGATGTTTTTTATCACGTTTAAAATTTTAAAATATGTTTCATTATTTCATTTCAAATATTTTGTTAGGTAGGTACATAAGGAAGGGGTGGGAAGACTTTATTTCTTCGTTAAGCCACAGAACAGGGGGATAACTGTTTTCTGTATGACCATTCCATTCCACCATCAGAGATTGCGAGAGCTCGACCGAGCTATTTGCTTGTCTCAGACTATTCGCATGAGTTTTTTTTGGGTTCCGTACCTCGAAAGGAAAAAAACGGAACCGTATTAGGATCACTTTGTTGTCCACCTGTCTGTCAAGACCCTTTTTCTCAGGAGCGCGGTATCAAGCAGAAATTTCTATTAAACACCAAGATCTGCTGTCCCTTGGTGCTGTGAAAAAAATTAATTTATAAGCCAACGTAATTAAAAAATACAGGCGTTTATGTAGCAAATTTTCGACACTCGCAAGGGAATCAAAACCTACAGGCTGTTTCCCATGAACTTAGAATCTTAAAATTTGATACGAAATAACGTTGTATAGCACAAAAAAAGGAAAAATTGCGGAAACCGTAAATTTTTAATTCCATTACATAAAAAAAAATTCTTTGGAAAAGACCTTGAATGTTATAATGACTGTCATAATTGTAAAATTAATTGTCATCATACGTAGGCCCACAAATGATTATACTTAGTCATGCAAGTTATGTCTGTCTATATCAGATAAATAATTAAGATTATATATTATCTTTAATTATATTTCAATTATTATTTAATTAATTAATTAAATCTTACTTCTTACTCATATTATAAATGCGAATGTTGGGATGGATGGATGTTTGCATGAATGTGAATGATGAATGAATGGCTGCATGAATATCGCTGAAATTTTGCATAGATTTAGATGTTTTTCTGGAAGAACACATAGGTTACGTCTACGTCTTACTTTCGAATTTACCAAACTTTTTTTTTATTTTTTTATTTTAGAATGTAAAATTACATTATGTGGAAAGCGGTGATCAATCTAAACCGCTCATGTTATTCCTGCACGGATTCCCGGAGTTTTGGTATAGCTGGCGAAATCAAATTGTTGAATTTAATAAAAAATATTGGTAAGTATCACATTTGTAATAAAGTATATATTCGAAATATCATCTTTTCGCATTTTGATGACAACGCAAAGAAATATAACAGTCTCTTTCTGGCTTTAACCGAAAAGTACTACTACAATAATTTTTCGGATAGTTTCCTACGCTGTTTACAACAGTTGCACGTGGTTATTTACTTTAATAATGAGATATACAGAAAGAAATAATTATAAGTATGTTACAGGTGTGTAGCGGTTGATATGCGGGGTTACGGAGATTCTGAGAAGCCAGAGGGACTAGATGCATACAAATTAGACATATTAGTGGAAGACGTGCGTGATTTTATGCGCAAATTGGGTAAAGCAATAAATTTAATGCGCTTATTTTGCGATTATTCTGTGTACCTTTACTATACTTTCTAGTTTTTAACTTTTTGGCGTAATATTACTTAATATATATAATTGGCTTAATATTCCTTATGACAAAGTTTGCGTGCAAGGCGTGTGTTACGTAACTTTATAATGGCTGAACGCATCTCTATAAAATTGGGAAGAGTGATAGATTGCAATCTGCGATAGTGCAGAAAGCATAGCAATATCTAGTTAAGAAATTTCTATAAGAGTATGTTATGTTTTTAGGTCGCAATAAGTGTATATTGGTGGGCCACGATTGGGGTGGCATAGTAGCAACCAAGTTCCGTGACACACACCCAGAAGCGTTAGACGCATTGATACTGCTCGCCAGCATATCCACAGAAGCATGGAGTCGAGAGATTTGGGGTAATCTAAAACAGAACAAGAAATCATGGTACGAACTTTTTTACACTAAAATTACATATTAAATTACTTTTTCAATACATTTGCCGTACCCTAATGCATTACAATTGAATTAAAATAGAAGCGAAGATGGCCTAATGTATGGCGAGTCATTAACGTTATTTTGTCCTTTGTCATTTTAGAGATAGAGTCCACATTTCTATTTAGAAAAAGAATAGAATTACAAAAAGGAAGAAGATTTAAGCATGTTTAATTATTAAATATATTTGCAGGTATATTTTCTTCTACCGCATGCCAATGTTAGCAGAACTGACTGAATCATTGACAAACATGAGAATTTTCGACATCGTTTTCAATCATGGTGATAAAAAACTTGACGAGGATACTATGAAATGCTACAGATACGTATTTCCGACACCAGGTGAGCGTTATAAAATCGTTTTTTTTTTAATTTTAATTATTCGTTTGATATCATCCTTTGAGCCTTTTATCATCCATTAAATAATTTTTACGTAACTTGAAAATCTTCTTTCAGCTTCTTTGACACCACCGATAAGTTACTACCGAGCTAATTTCAAATTGACATTCCCGAATAAGTATGTAGATAACAATGTTCCGATGCTTGTGGCCAACGCAGAATTGGATGTAGCTTTAGCTCCAACATTATTGGACCGTATGAAGGAAGAATACAAATACATTGAAACAATGTTAGTGAAAAACAGCCATCATTTCTATCAAGAAGAAGAACCAGCGAAAGCCAACAAGATTATAAGAGATTTCCTTGCTAAGAATAATTTATAGATCGGAAAGATTTACTTCAATGTTTGTTAAAAAAACATGTAATGTGTCTAACGGTCAATATTTTTTTGCGAAGCTCATTTTGTATTGTTTAGTGTTGTCGATATAGGGATTTTTCTAAATAAATGAGTTTCAAAATTTTTCGTTTATGTTTACTTACATCAATTTACATATTTTGATTATGTACATATACGTAGTCAAATAGTCAAACCAAGATTCCTTTGCCACACAGCTTCTTCGGTGGGTTTAGGCCAAGTTTCGACTGCCGCGACACGTCTTTTAATACATATTGTCATCACTCTCGTTCTCTTTGAAAGAACAAAGACATCACTATGTGTCAATACAATTATCACAGCACTGGAGTTTTTTTGTGTGTGAGTGGAATTTTACGAATTCACAATAACTCACTTAAGAAGTCAAAATTATTATGATGTGCAATCGTCTATAAATAATTATCATTTTTCCATTTTCATAAACTTTTGAGAATGAGCAGAACTCTATGAAGTCTATGAATCTATGAATGCCTTTCAACTATAGCATAGACAATCAAGGTCATGTCACAAATATTAATCGTGACAAGTCGAATAGTTACAGCAATTTTGGAAAAACTTGACTTTCTCTTTTTCTTTAGGCATAGTTTATGCATACAAAGTGGTTTCATTTTAGAGATATCGAACTTTTCGTTTTAGAATCACTTTGGGTACACCTCAAATTCTCAAATGAGAGCTAATGGCCGCCGAACACTAATCACGAAACAGCTGATGTGCGTCGTTTGATTAATCAATTAACATTCCTGTTTGCCCTACTGTTTCTACATTGTTTAAATGATACTTTATTGGCAAAACAGTTCTTTGTGGAATTCAGGGTTAGTATTTATAGTGTTAATAACACTTTTTTTAAGTGAAGTGAGCGTTTTATACACTGTTGGTTTTTTCAGATGTCACTGACCATTCAACAAATTATTTTGGATGCTAAAAGACTAGCTGGCCGTCTCAAAGAACGGGAAACCGAAGCGGATGCTTTATTAACTGAGACACAATCGGCGTATAGACAAATTCATACCATGAAACAGGTACGATTCTGTTGATCCTTTGTTGGTCTAGTATACCGTATTAGATTTTAGAAGACAACACTCTAATTTAAACAGGAAACAATAGCTTTCAATATGGATTTGAGAAAAAGCAATATTAAAAATATCTTTCAAAAAATATTCTTTCTAATCATTAAATATTGTATCATATGTTTAAGTGCTCAATTATTAACATAAATTATACAACAATTATTTACTTAATTTATAAGCATATACAGTTACAACAATTGTTATCTATAGTACAAAGAAGAAGTGGACACTCTCAATGAAGCTTCAAGAGAAAGACCCCGGGGAGAACTGATTGCCAGTATTGAAAGAGAATCTCGACTTATGCGTGATGTACAAAAAGAGAATGGAGAGCTCCGCGCCGCACTGGAAGATCACAGGAGGGCTTTGGAACTTATTATGTCCAAATATCGCCAGCACACTGAAAAGAGAATATGGGAATCACGGATAGATTTTACATCTGCAATTAATGATAAACAGCAAGAGGTACTACTAATACTTTGTTGATATTAATATTTTGTACTTAGCTTATTTAATATTGTCAATATTTACGTATTTAACAGTTGATTCGTCAACAAGCAGAAAGAATTAATGAGATGACCAGTGTAATGTACAAAGCTGTAACCTTGGATGAAAATTCTGACACAAGGAAAGAAGAAGAATTGTACCAAAGGCTTATTACTGAGAACAAGGTATTGAATGAATTTATGTTTTTTATAAATTTCAATTTCACAATTTAAAAGATATATATCGAGGTTTAATCATTTTCATTTATATACAAAAATACATCAGAGATTCCAAAACTGTTAAAATTAAGATTAATTTATTTTCCAATTACAAGGCATATTTGATATATGAAGAAATCTAATACCATACTTTAATATAAAAACATAAAACTTCCAGGGTCTTAGAGAGATGTTGAATCTCTCAAGGCGGTATGGATCTGAGCGATCATTAGCTCCTCCCACAGAAGATAAGCATGTACAAACTGATGGACCGCCTGTTACAAGCGCGTGACGCCCCGCGGCGGACACATGCCGCCTCTAATGCGCTCATTGCGCCTCTTCTAGCGCCCAACGCGCCTCTTTATTGCGCTTAAGGGCGCCTCTTAAATAGGTAGATTACACTAAGCCTCCTGTCGGCACATTTGCCTTTTTTACACTAATCTTTGCACACAGAATGTGATATATCGTTTCTAATAATTCAAGGAAGTTTTTGTCTTTAATAACCTCTTTACTGCAATATAGATATGTGAAGCCCTTAGGGCATCTGGGGATCAATGAAAGTAGGTACTGATCGCAAGTAATAAAGTACTAAAGCAATACCATAAAGTTCCAGAGCTGAAATAAATTGGTGTTTCATTCTACGGTAGGCAGAAATCAAATCTAGAATAGTTGACAAATACCCCTTTTCCAATAGGGTTCCGTAGTCAAAAAAGTTTGAGAATCGCTATAGAATATCTGTTTCAAAGATTCAACTAGAAAGTTTTTCAAAACTTTGAGGTTCTCTTTTACATAAAGACTGGAATACATAGAAACAGTTTGAAAACATCTAGGTGTTTGTGCTGTACTTTTACTTTCATAGAACTTAATCTGAAACCTAAGTTTCTAGTATTATTAGCTACTGTAATATATCGCGATCTGTGTGCAAAGTATATCTGAACACTGAACCATGACTTACTTGTTTTATTAAATTTATTGATAATTGTTTTTTCATATTCAATACTTAAGAAATTTTATACAATACTGTTCATATTTGTTTATTGAATGTGCAGGCAGGAAGGATATTCTTTTATAAGCCACCAATTCAGGGTGCAATTTTCATTTTACTGTTACTTATACATTTCCAATGTGTTTTTTACCTTTAAATAAATGAATTTCTAAAATACTCTGAAAAGGTTGTGTTAAGAAAGAATATTTTAATTATATTGTTTGGTATGACTTGCATTGATTTACACCAAAAAAAGGGTTCCTTAAACCTTTTTTTTGTTATATATTTGGTTATTGTAATTTTATTTTTAAATGAGTCAATAAGAAACTTTTGAAACAATGACGGTGGTTAAAATTAGAAACAAAACTGCCATTAACAGGTGCATATGATTTTTTTTAGATATTAGTATTAGAAAAAAATATGGTCTTTTAATTTGAAGCTATATGATATTTTTTACAATAAAGCGCTTATGTTCCTCAACATATTTGATTTAATGTAACAATGAATGTTTGATGAAACTTATAATTAAAAGTAAAATGAAAATGCACTCGGTGGCCACTGCCTGTTGAATGCTATTATAATATTCAAACTTTATAGCGGCTCGCAGTTGCGAGCGCATGTTTGGTATGGATGAGTCAAGCTCATTTTATGTCAAATATGCCAGATTCCAATCTAAACTCTAATTAAAATAAAAATAGCTATAAAATAACATTAGCTACCCTTATTTTACAATACATGCCCTTATTTACAAATTAACTAAAAGTCGAACATCAATATGGCTGCCGTTTATGGAATTTGGAATACCTCTTTAATTTAGGCTTTTTACAGAAACAAAGGATAGTTACATCTCATTACGGATACTTTATTCGTCGTGTAGGAGGAATTCTATTCACTGTATTTCCCACCAAATTCCGAGCCAGTATAAAGTTTGAATGGCACTGTATTAATGTTGTTTTTGTTGACTCAGGATCTTAGATTGCTCGAATTTCGTCTAGACTTAAATTAGATTACTTTGTGTTTGTAAGCGCAGTACTTTGTGGGACCCATTATCTGTTAACAAGTTATATTACAGAGTGATTATTGATGTGGAACATTAGTTTGATCATTTTGAACTAAGGAATTATTTACGTAGTAATATACTACGAGTTTAAAAAAAATTAAATCTTTAAAACGAATGAATTTTTACAATCCAATTGATAAGGAACTTTATTTAGATTGACAAAATTAATTATATTAAAATGAAGAAGAAAAAAAAACAAGTACTATCATTATTTTATACAAGTTTTTGAAAGGTGGTAACCCGCAGCAATATTAATCTTTATTTTCATTAAGATACTTAATGTAAGTTTTTTTTCATGTTTCAACATCAAGATACTGGGTACTAGTCAACATGCACTGGTCATATTTAGTACTGTGTTTACTCTTTATTCAACTTAACCTTGGTCTTCATACTTTCCATCTAGAAATTATTGATATACTACTCAACATCTTATAAATGCTTTTGCATTGAATTGATTGTAAGAGTTTTGATGCGATAAATATTCGAGAAACATCTCTAATGTCTTAGTAAGTAAATAATTAATATGCAATATTTTTTCACGCGTTCGTATCTGCTTTGGATGTTAGAAGTTCTAAGTAGAATATATTGTAGCGTTTCTGGTTAGAATATATCGTATTGTCATCCCGTTGTACGGGCAACAAGCAATAAATAAAGGACTGGTTCTGATAAAACATAATTCGTATTAAAAAAAATTAATGTTTTAAGGAGATAACAACTCTAGTGAGTAATGATGACCGTCCTCTTACAAGCTTCGGTATTACTACGCGGGCACAATAACATGACACCTCCACGGGCGCCATGGTTTCAATGAGTGACGCAACTAATCAAGATGCACGGTACTGTGACGTCATCATGCTCTTGTGTCACTGTGCGCGGGTAGCTTAGTTTTAAATTTCATAGTTTAAATACCTCTCCAATATGAGCCCGAATGTATCGGCGATTTTTTTTCTTTTAGTATAAAATGCGCATTATTCTGAGGCTATTTGCGGCGCGTGTATGTAGTTATTACAAATTTCCTTACCTCAATAGAGTGTAACCAAATAATTTTACAATATCCTAGAATTAAATTGTGAGTAATTTTTGCTCATTCTTATATCGGATTCAAGAAGTATGTGGACTTGTTTATAAAAATATGTATTAAAGGAAAATAAGCGCAAAGGATCAACATACAATTTTAAAGGTAATTCTAGAACAATTTAGGGAGTAATCGAAGTTAAAATTATTTTTAAACGAGATTTTATACCTTACTAAAGCACAAAAATTATTGAAAAATATGAAATAGGACATTACTGTTTTGAACTATATACTCTTATAAGTATTTTACGTTGTAAATTGTTCTGTAGTTAATATTTTACTATATTTTAGGATTCAATAACTGTTTACAGAATCATTTGAATCAATTTATATGGCAGGTAGGATCTCTCTGCTATAACTAAGAGCATTGGGAATGAAGTTGTTGGATGTTTAGCGATCTACAATTTAGATATTGTTAAATCTGTATTTTAGTTAATAATAGTTATGTCTCTAATAATAACATGTGAAACACATGTTAATGTAAAAATTATTTACCTCATAAGAATATGCTTACATGTGAGGTGTTCTATATTTTAAATTGTAGTATTTGAAAACGCTGTTTCGGCTTGTATGCATTTATGGTAAGGAATTTCCGAAAAAATTATATTTCTACTTTCGTACGAAAGTCTGTGAATCTAGGATTTATTACCTTACCTAAATCAAATATGTTTATCAGTCGAAATGGTAACATTAATCTTTGGTTTCTGAGATTAAAATCCTTGTCATCCATCAGACAGAGATCTTAATGTTTTACATAAGGATTTTGGTCTCGGAAACCAACAATAAATAGATGTTTTTAATAAGATACTGTTTTACATGTAGATGTTCCTTGAAATCTACAAAGTTTAGTAACATTGTATCTTAGTAGATACATTTAAAGTGATTATATAGTACGTTTTTCTGCCGTAGTGACATGTAGAGCTAAAATATAATAATGTATCCTTAAAATGTATTTGACAAATAAACAACTCTAAAATACTATATAGTATGGTTTTCTTAAACCTTATCTTATTTTAGTGAACTGGATTGTGCAAAAAATAAGTTAGGAAGAATTAAAACACTCGACAATGAAACATGTTCAACAAGAATTGGAAGAGTATTGTATTCTAATATAGATTAGAATACCAGTAAAAGCATTTCCTTGTCCTAATGCCATGTTTACAAAGTCGTTACTTAGAGTGGGTGTAATGTAAGATGACCTTTTAGGTTACTACAAGCTGTCATCCGCAACTTCAAATGCACGGAATTAAAAAAACCAAAACCTATTTATAGCGAATTCCATCAAGATCCGTTTAATTGTTCTGGAGATATCTTCAAACAAACATCCATCCATCTGAACATTCACATTTATACAATTAGAATCTTCCCATCTTAAAAGATTCAGCCAGAGATAGCAAGGGTAAGATATAAAAATCAAATTCCATTTTACACAAAGTAATATATTAGAAGATCTTATTAAATATCTCAAAAGTCCCCAACTACACAACAATAGTTCCCTCCTAACCTTGTAGTAAGAAAGGGGAAGTTCATTCATGTACATACATGAATCATACTCTAGTTTGTGTATACTCTGTGGGGAACTTGAATGAATGTTGTCCGATTGCTTCAATGTTTGGTAGAAGACCAGCATTTGGAATGATGTTCCATGAGAGGGTAAGAGTAACATTCTGATGACCCCTGAAATATACAATTTAAATTTAACATACAAAATTAAAAGATTGAACTATTAGCCTGATGAAGCTACTTATAAGTTGTCACAGATTAAAAATCTATGTAAAATGTACTTATTTAGAGATTTATGTATGTAAGAGAAAAGCATGCCCTATTAAAATTGTTCTAGGTTTTTACTACATTTGGTTAGTGTACTTACTTCAAACCATTACCATCATCCCAGAAGTAGTATTTTGTGTTCATATTCTTAAAATCTAATAGTGCATTTTCTCCTCTTAAAATAATTTTATCCCAAAGTACAACTTGATTGAGTTCGTTGTTGGGTGTAATATATTCTGCTGTGAGGTATAAGAACAGTTGCTTCACATTCCAGTTGAAAAGATGAGACAGGTCTGTTTTGAGATCAAATGTAAGGAAACCAAGATCATTTCTTTCTCTGGAAGCACCATAATCGGGAACATTCTTACTGCAAGAAAAAATTGGACATAAAAAAATACATACATAAATTTAACAGATACAATACTATTTAATGTGCATTTAATGATATGTATAAAGTCTATTGATTGGTAGTAATTATTTAAAAAGGGAAGAACTCAAGGAAGTTTCAGAGGGTGTTGCAATTAAACAATTGTTGTAATACTGTAGGTAGTTTTTTTGAGTTTTAGAGCATAATAACACCAGTTTTAAAATATGCTTATAACAATCTGTGGAAAGTATAAGTGTGATTGTAAATATCTAAAACATTACGATCGAAAGTTAACCGATAGGTAATTCACTTCCATGACAGCGACATGGAAATCTTCGTAAATATGAATTTCAGAGATCTTATGATTTAGTATACTTACACGACTACTTTAACAGTGTTCATTTGAGCGGCAGTTCTATAATCCACGGTTAAAGTGGATAGAAAACACAAAAATGTTAAACATGCTAACACACTTAAAGTATAGGTTAATATCGCATTTCCTCTCGTTAAAACCGAATACATGTTGAATTGTGTTTATAGCAAAGGTTTGCTATAAATCTTTAACACAAATAAATTGTTTTATGTTAAATTTTGATTACTTTCTGTTGGCGATTTGATGACATTAAAGACACGTCACATTCAACTTCACCCTTGCTATGCCAGAGTCTGCTACGTATTTTCTATAAATTTATACCGTATTGCTTGTAGACAAAGTTGGTTTTACAAAGTAAAATTGTAAAAGATCGAAAACGAAACACGTTTCGTGTCAATCCGTTTCGTTCTACGCTTAGTGTTTTAGATGTCAATGTGTTCTTTTGTATTTTGTGTTCTTAATCGTACCACAAAGTTCGTGGAATATTGATATAGAATGACTGGATTTAATTATGTATTCTCATTGTAAAATAAATAGGTGATTAACAGTAAAGTAATAAATTAAAAAAAAAAAAAATTAAAGTCACCTTTTTGAAGAAGTTTACACAGTTTCCGCTAGAGGGAATAGTTTTCAATTCTTACAATGCGTGATGCAGAATAACAAAAGCTTTAATTAAATTCGAAATGCGGGAAATTATTCCAATGTGAGATTTATAATTGTGACGAAGTAGCAGATTATCGACTTGTATCAGGTACATATTTTCAGATCATTACACGTTCACTAATTTATTTTTTTGTAATTCGGAGATTATATATA